ACCCCAGAACCCAATTCCGGAATGGTTTGATACTGTGGATGGACGAAATCCTGCACCACCTCAGAGACCCTGGTTTCGGATGATTCCCCTGTAAATACCAACACACGTTATGGTTCAACCATGGTTTCCAAGTGGTGCGAAATGGATTGCGTCCATCCACAGTACGAAGATATGCAGCGATATGCACGTGTTTGGAGCTTTCATTGTGTTCGCAATGTGAAGACACTGTGAACCCTTTGGACCCTCACCTGGGCTATGCCAGACTTACAGTAGCTCACCTTGTCCACTGTATGCCTTTCTGTTTTTCCCCATTCGTCGTGCATGTGTTGCCATTTCTCCTGGATTTTATGGGTTTCATGTTGTTCCTTGTTTAACAAGAAGATCAACCAGCAACAGTGGTCCATGGTCTCAAAGTAGGAGTAATCCCAAAATGGAGCATGTCGCCCCAGGCCAGACAGAGGATCCTTTAATCCAACCCCAGAAAGAGCACACGCCAGAACATGACAACCCCATGTATTGTTGCAGATGGTCGATCCACGCAGTGCTTCTCGTCCGAGGCAGTCCAGACATCGACCCTGGTTGGTGCCCAGAGCTCGCCAATAGCGAGGCGGGCGGGCCGTCCCTTGTTTCAATCACAGCAGGGAGCTCTTTATAGATCTCTAAGTTTCCACTTTTGGACCTCCATTTACTATGGGTCACCTATGCCCTTGAATGCTAGGGTGGGTCCTCAAAGTTAAAGCTGAGAGTTGAGATAGCTGTCAGGCCTCTACTCGCTGCGCCACCGCGGAGGCTGGCATGCGATCTTGCGATGCTTCTTGGGACTGGCTTTGCGAATGGGCCGACAACTGCGCCCAAGACTTTTTGGCAACCTACATTTTGACGCTTATAGGGAACACCTTTCGGCCACCTTCTTCTTGATGGATAAGGGATGACATTTTGGGACAGGCCAAAGCTTTAAACCGTAGACTAGCTCCATCAAGAGCTTCGGCAGAGTGAGAGCTCGGCGCCCTTCCGGACGCCCAAGAGGAGGTCCATTTTTTTCCAGCGGAGCGACGAATGATGGGTCCCAGCTGGGCATTTTAGCTTTTTTGTTGGTTGAGTGACGTGGTTGGGTTTCCATTTAGCCCACAAGTTAATTATTATCTTTTTGCAGGGCATCCGAGGAAACGTGAATCCAAGTTTATTCCTGGAGAACGTGCGGGGCGGCCGAAAAATCATCCTTTGTGTCTTCGGGGATTCTACCCTGCCGGGATTTCAGGGATCTCAAAGCGCTCTTTTCGGGAGACCTATTTTTGCAGCACCTTCTGTCCAGTTTGAGGGGAGCAGCGGATCCAGTTGTTTAGGCGCACCTCTAGGACTCTAGATTCCTTTTTATTTGGGTGCTTCCCCAATGAGTAAGAAAGGCCCACCAAAATTCCAAGCATACTATGGTAGCTTTTTCTATCCAACAGGTCACCGGGTGCAACTGGGGTACTCTTTGTTTGGATCGTTTCAAAAAGGGATTCCAAAGAGAAGCTTCGTGTTTTCCGGGCATTCCTTCAATCTTTTTTACCTTGTTATATCTTTCCAACCCCTCGTCATGTTTGCTGATTAATCCACCCCGCCTGCATGTCAAGGTCCCGGGATGTTGAAACTCGGCAAACGGGTCCTTTCCTGTTTGGACCCTTGCCTGTATACTGCGGATGGACGAAATCCTTGATTTTGATCGTAAAAAGGGGCACCCTCTTCGTGGTAGTCGATTGGGGACCAGCTTTTCAAATGTGTCTGTTTTGTAGGGGATCCCTGTGCCACTTTTGGATAAAGACCTTTACAACTGCTGCAGGATTAGCCCATACTAAAAGACAACGCCAATTGCTTCGAATGGAAGCTGCATGGTTGAGTGGTCATCCAATCGCTTGGCCGCTTCCATGGCTCCTGGCGTAGGAAAGCAAGTATCACTTGTATATTTAACAATGGTTCAGAGGTGAGTGCCAGGAATCAGGGAAATTGTGAGGGGATGCCCATTGTTTGGACTGCCTCGAAGCGGGGGCGCCTTTGTGAAGCTCAAACCACTTCACATGTTTTTGGTGCAAACCAGCGGCAAGATGTGGCTGTGGTTGTCAAACCCGTTTTGGGATCCCATTCTGGTCGGCGAATTCTCACCCCCCCTCCATTTTAGGAACCTATTTGAGTGCTTGGATTGGGTTTTTTTATTCACTGGGGGTAGGTCTCGCACTTGGAAACTCGCGCGAAACCGGAAACCATGGTTGAACCCATAAGCCACAACTGTTTGGCATTTACGTTGGGGACTCCTCCCGTTCACTGGGCACCGATCCGTTTCGATGCCACGCCAGGCCGCACGCTGCGAGGCCCGGAGCTCAGTCGGCCGGGCTAGAAAAGCTCCGCGGAGGCTGGCGGATGCGGCTCGCGCCGGAGGTTTCTATGTTTGCTTGCTTGTTTGCTTTAGAGTTGCCTTTTTTTTGTTGCTTTGATCTGTTGCTGAACTAGGGCAAAAGTGTTGTTTTTGTTTTTCCCCCGGGCAAGGGAACCACTGTTGGTGCAGAAGAGGTGATGCTTAAAGTCACCTCTTTTAGGTCACTGAGACTTGAGGCCATGCATGTCGGATTCACAGAAAGTGGCCTTTATCTTTGATCTCCCTTTGATTGAAGCACGAAATAATGGGATCCCAAAAGGGACTAGATGTTTAGAATCATCCCGCAAGCGGTGCCATCATTCTGGGCATTCTGGGCATTCTTGGGGGCAGAGGTGACCTGTGCTAGTGGCGTGCTGGGATCCACAGAACCAGGGCTCGGGCCCTTCAAGGGCGCTGAAAGTCAGCCTGAGCGTAGGTTTCCCTTTCAAGGTGGTGAAAAGGAGGGCAAGTAGAAACTTGTTCAGCTTGCATCACATGTTCATTCTTAACCGACTTGCTTACTTGAGGTTGCCAGGAATCATGGATCCAGGGGATGGTTATGGATTGGTCATTTGGGTTCCCCTCCTGTGACAGACCAATCGTGGGTTTTGACAAGCAAAGGGAGTTACGACCATCATGGGGGTGTAGGACTATGCAAGAACACACATTTGGGTTTGTCTCATGGGCCGCAAATGGATGGTGTCCCCTGTGTTTTCGCTTAAAACGCCAAGGGGACCATCAAAAGCAGACTTGTTCGAACCTATACCGGGTCGTTCAAGTTCTGTCTCTACACGGAAAGCGCGCGGCTGCAGGCACCCAATTTCTTTCGGGCTTCGCGCGGCTGTTTCAATTAGCTTGCTAATTGGATCCCATCCAAACTGATGCTATGTTGGTAGCCCTACCTGATTAGGTTGACACACTTTCATATCCTCATCAGCCATGCGGATCAAGATTTATTGGGCTTGTGCTTCATTTCGTACGGTGAGATGAAACAATGCGTCGGCACAGGCATAGTGGGAAATGTTCGCAACGTCGGGCATCGGTTTGTGCTCAGGACCTAGCTCTGCTAATTCAATGTGGACGCAGAGGCAATGTTCATATTGCATGATTTGGTCATGGCGTTTGTATGCCGCGTTGTGAACGCGAAGTTTGCCCAAGAAGCTGAGCAGTATGTGCATATATGTATATATATATATATGTTTTTGGTACCGCATATAAATATAGCAGGGGTATGTAATTCTGAAAGATGTATGGTCCATTGACCAATCTCGCTTTTTGACTTTCTTACTTGTCGTGTTGCCGCACTTTGACCGTTTGTTCTTTTTTGGCTTCTTCATGTTGGTAAAAGTGAACAGAACTGAAACTTTTGGGTCAGTGAACCCAGCAGGTTTGCATTGGCTCAGGTGCCTACAACCAAGATGGAGCCTCTCTCAGTACCTCCCTCGCCTCTTTGCACCTTCCCACGGGGAAAATGAGGGGTCTATCGGCTTAAGGCAAAGTCAAGAGTGCAGCTTTTCCCACAATTTTTGAGGTGTGGTGGTATTGGACACCCTCCAATATGTGTGTTTGGTGCAGACAGTGCAGTCCGGACGTGGGTAAAATCCATTTCAAGCCGAACTGGTTCTTCCCGGACCGGAGTGACCCTAGGAGTAGCCCTTGGGTCATTGGTGGCTACCCAATTTTCCTTTCACGTTGGGAGCACTCTGGCCACATGGCAAAGACGTGTCATAGGAACACCTACCAGTGGGTCAATCGACCTCTTGCCTCAACTTCCTTTTGATACGGTGACTGCTGTAGCTGGTCCGTTTTCAGCTTCACCACTCTGGTTGCAAGTGCCTCGCATCTCGCATCGCTTCGGTGCGTAAGCCCTCAGGAAGGGGGGGAATTCCCTGACTGACCAACCAACCAGCAAGCTCTGCTAAGCCGATTAGGTAAAACGGTAAAAGCGACATTTGGGGGTTGATCAATATTCCTGGCCCCAAAATGACCATGGGTAACTGTTCCCATTTAATGGTGAAAGTCAAATAAGTTTTCTGTGGTTTCCCTAATCACCCCATGTTCATCACACTGTTGGATCAACCCCCTTTCCCGTTTGATTCTGTCGAACTTGTTTTGGATGGTACATACAAGTTGCTTGTGGCAGAAGTTGCACAGGGCGACAATCTTGCGGACTATACCCGCGTCAAACATTCTGCGGAGACCTTATATTTCAGATCCATCGGAGGTTCTTGCTAGACTGGGCCATATGACCATGAACATTTATAGGGCCTAGGGCCTAGGGAACGACGCAAATTCCCTACCTAGTTGATGTCCACGGGGGATTCCCTCTTAAGTGTTGCGCCCATGTTGGCATGAGAACCGCGGTGACTTCTGCGATGCGCATCTTGTCATCGCCCCAGGACTGTCAATAAAGACTCGCTGCCGGCATCCGCCGTTCGCTCTCAGCACTGGTCAGCGCAAACATTGCCGCTTGGATCTTGTGGCTGGACAAAAATCCCACCGAACCGCGAGGCAGAAGATAATAATCCTCAAGAAGTCAAAACCTAGATGAGCCCATCAGAGCGCTCGTTTGGAGAAAGGATTTGCGGTGAGTTTCACAAAAGGCGCCATGGATAACGCTGCAGGGCGCGTGCAGGTGTGGGCGCGCGTACGCCCACCGGTTGAGCAGGACATGCGGGTAACGCACAAAAAGTTAAACTTTCAGCCGGGCATCTGAAGGAAGCCCAGTAATGAATGGGACAAGCCACTAATCCCAATGAGGCGACTAGCTGATTTCGTCCGTCAGTAGCTCCCCACTCCGGAGGACCACGGCCCGTGCAACGCTGTGGACTGCTGCGAGTCGAGCAAGATCATCCGAGTCCGCAACGACGTGGAGGTTCCATGGGGGTTTCCTCCATTTGTTTTTCTGGTTTCTGATATTCTACGGGTTGCTAAGTAGCAACTCAGGCTTTATTTTCCCAGAACAGCAACACGGAATTCTCTTTTTTATTTTATTTTTTCTTCCGTAATTAGGGTGGACTAGGTGTTGAACAGAGTCTTAGTACCCCAGGGCCAAGGTTCGCACTGTCCTTGATGCGTGCTGTCCCACGTAAATCAGCCAGAGACACATCCGAGTGTTTCCAACTTTCTTTGTGGCGCTCCTTGAGTGTTGGCGGGGTCGGTAGCGTGAAGACCCGTCCAAGCGCTATGGTCCAAAGATCCCTACTGGAAGCGAGCGTACTGCTCAGTCTATTTCTCGGGTCTTCACAATTTTTCCATTTCGGGTAGACTACAGCACAGTGGATGGACAGAATTGTCTACCAGATGGGATGAATGAAGCTTTATGAATAGGGGGACAAACCACCTTCCCACTGGTGCAGGAATTTGTCCATCCACAGTATGGAGCACAATATGATTGGCGGTTTTTTGCGTACTCCAGATGTGGGCCAAGTGTCCTCTTCGGACACATGATGCACGGGACATAAGGCTGGTGAGAATTGAAGGTTACGGGTAGGCACGCTGGCCTGACCCTGCTTTGCCCGTGATTGTTTTTTAAAGCCCAAGCAAACCATGCAGAGACATCTGTTTTTTGAGGCCGAGGAGGAATTGTTTCAGGATATCTTTAGTGGATGGTTTGGATTGGTGCGGGGATTTGAACCTGTGGTTCTTATAGAGGACAAATGGGAAACGACCCCCTTCACCACCAAACCACAATTCGAAATCATCAAGTAGAGGGAAGCCCGGTATGACCTTGGGAACCAAGGGGGTACTGTGGATGGACAAAAATTGTTTGCTCCAGTTATGCTTCTGAACCCCTATCAATACTGCGTCCCTTTTCAGAATCATATCTTTCGCCAGGCTGCAGAGAGGATGCTCACTGGCCAGGCTGAGAGCGCTGCTTTCTCCAAGTCGCTTTTCGGTGGTTTCGATCATCACCTCTTGGCCTCTAAAGTGAGCTTCCTTTGGGGAGATACTTCCTCGTCTGGATCTGCTCTTTAAGCTCAGCCACGTCTGAGTCTCTGCCACCGCTTTCTCTTCTGAAAGCGCCAAAATGCCGCTTTGTTGCGGCTCCACTTCTGGTTTCTTTTAAAGTGCCCCCACTGATTCTTTTTTCGGCCTTCAGTGGGCTGCTTCCTTGTTTGCTTGTTGTTGGAAGGCGGAGCGCATATCCAGTTTTTTCCCCATAGAAATCCACCGAAGGCTTGGGTCTAGGACTAAACAAATAAGTCTAACTTTTGGAGGGAGCCAGAACACAAGCGGGTGGGGGTCCTTTCCGATGGATTCCATTTCCCTGCATGGTGTTGAACCTACAAACCCACCCTTGACAACCCCAAAGGGAAAAATGTTGAGCTACCTGCTATGGCTTTCCTGGGATTTTCTGGATTTAAGATCCCTTCGTGTTGGTCCAAGCAAAAAAGCCGGCAATCTGTTGGATTCCTTGGATCCAGATCTGGTGGCTTCGGGGCCCAAAACTTGGTGGCTCTCAGCCATCCCCTTAGCTTTTTAGCCTTTTAGTGTTTAGTGGTAGTTTCCATTTAACCCACTAAAAGTCAAACTTTTAGCGGGGGATCTGAGGGCAGCCCAGACAAATCAACGCCGGGCATCCACCGAGTTGCCGCAGGCTCAGGGCGAGTCCTCCGGCGAGAAGGAGTTCGGCTTCGACGGGGTCTTCTCCGAATCCACGGCCCGGGCTCGGATGTTGAGACAACGGGGATGGTTGGGGGGGTTGGGGGGGTTGGGGGGTTGTTGGTTGTTGGGGGGGTTGGGGTTGTGGGGGGGGGGGGTTGTTGGGGGGGGGTTGTTGGGCAGATCCAAAACCAGAGTGAAGTTCAAGTCAGCCAATTCTTTTAAGAGGTTGCTGCTTGCTTCTGGTGGTTTTGCAGTCAGGCCAAGGAAAGAACGAAGTACCTAGTCATATGTAATATTTGATTGTATATATATATATATATGCGAGTCTTAACCGGGTCTGCGAGCGCTCAGCTAATATAATAGCACGTTTTTGCGAAGCTCTCGGTTCGCTTGGGTGCTACGTACTTCATAGATTGAAATATGTTTCAAAGGGATGCCACCACGTTTGGATGGGCCAAAAGGATGCCAAAACCAAAATAAGTGTTTGTTTTTGTCTAGACTCCATGGCTTGATTGGATTGTGCTTTCGATGGCCATGACCTCTGCCCCGTTCCGTCCGCCAGGCCCAGAGAGACGTCTTCATGCAAATCGGCCTGCCGGTGCTGCGTGAGGTGCCAAACCGCACAACAAACGTGGCCTTTGCAGGATCCCTGCCTTTTCACGGGGAATATCGCCTTCCAAATGGGGTCTGTTCACCTTCATGCTTGTTGGGGGAGGAATCATATTATATAACTTACATAAGTGGTCGTGGCGTGTGTCATGGCGCGGTTTGGACAGGCAGGAACCAGCAGGAAACTGAGCATCTTGAAAGTGCGCTGCTCCGAGCCATGCTGAGATGCCCAGCGCGGTAGTCTTTGGATCAAGTGTGATTGTTCGTTGCTGCAAATGTGTTGTTGTGTGTCATTAATATTTGGCTGACATGTTTCGTGCCATCGGCATACAATACATGGTCCTCCAATAGGCACATCATCACAGGGTGATGCGACTCTATGATCATTGATCATTCGTCGGCCATTGCTCGACATTTGGACAGGAGCCCCAGCACCAACCGACTAATTCTTGCAGCGTAAGACTCTGCGCCAATCACTTGTGTAGCTTTGAGTTCAATCCAAAAAATCATCTTAAGTCCGAATGAGACACACAACATGGGGTAATTGTCCTTATTCAATTTGGGTTACTGGTTGCGCTTTCCGTCCAGATAGAAACTCTGAGCTCACAGCGAAGACCTTCGTACAAAAATATTTGGGCCAACCCTGCCGAATAAACCCGCTTCTTTTTTCCGGACATGGATTAAGAGGATTTGGACGTTGAAAAAACGCCTTTGGGAGACCCGTGGCCCAGAAACCGCAAGGTAAAGGGGATTCCAAAAATCAGTGCTTGATTTGTCTACCCTGATTTGTGGTTCAACCCCATATTTTTGGGGAATCCCAACATTTTAACCCCAGATATTTGGTTTAACCCCAAAGAATCATGAACACGGGCCTGCCGATTTCTTTCCCAATTCGACTGCGGATCCGGTGAGTCGGATCTCTCAGGCGCTCCGGGGAATCAACGGCACCGTGCTGGCCTATGGGCAGACCGGCTCCGGCAAGGCACCGCTTCGCTCACGACAGACCTCCTGCAGGTTGCATGTTGGTTTTGTTCCAAAAAAACAACAATTAGAGACAAACACGTATAAAAACATACTTCCTTGGAGGGTGTTTCCCTTGAAACTCGAAACAACAAAAAGGGTGCCATTGTTTTATTATGGCAACTGCAGGTTTTGCTGTAGAGGTCCCTGCGCAAGATAGTGTGTTCTTCCAATTGGGGACTCCACACGAGGAGCCAGAGTTTCTTAATGGTGCGTCCAAATTCGAGGCTGCCCGGTTACGGTGCGTTCTAAATCTGCCATTGTTTTGCTGAAGAACGAACTACGGCCGCGTGCTCTCAGAGAAGGCAACATCCGCTGCCCCTGCGGCATAGATACAAAAGGTTTTAATGGTACTGCTGCATCACGTGCGTTTGTTGTTTTTAGAGTACCGTTTTGCGGGTTTCATTCACGACATTTGGCATGTTGACCTTGAAGGTGTTGGGCCATGACCACTAAGCCACTGCCTTGTTGTGGCAGCTCGAACAAATGGCTATGAACTGAGGCTTGACGCTGTCCAGGAAGAACTAAGTTTGAGGTTGTTGTGAGATGCAGATACATACCGACTTGGCCATTCGCAAGCCTGTTTTCTGTCGGAGACGTGGGGAGCAGTTTCCGCAACTCAAGCTTGTGCTGATCCATGGGCTTTCAATGGCACCATACCCCTGTCAGGATGTTTGAAGCCCGATATTCAGCAACCCCAAGTGGGCGTGGGTTTGATCATTTGCTGACTCATAGGCGTTTGCCGATTCCCCAAGCCAATACTCGAGGGGACACTATGTCAAACCCAGTGCTTCCAGTTGCCACTATCGTAGGGGTATGTTTACCTTGCAGGTGTTTCATGATAGTTTCCCTGGTTAATTGCCCAACTGGAAGCAGTGAAGAATATGAACGTCCACGAAGCTCGTGCCATGACTGTTCCAAAGCTGAAGGTCCCGCAGAGGTCAGGGCTTCAAGCGTCTAGCATGCCACTTGGCGAACCTCACTCCCCGGGTTCCTGAACTTTGGACTTGTTGGGAAGACCGTTTCAATTGGTAAGCAAAAAACTTAGGCATTGTCTGGCCAATCCACTCGGGAAGTGAGTAGCTGATTCAACAACCTCTAGACGCTTGCTTTTCAAGCTGCCCGTGTCCCGGCTTCTAGTTCAATTGGTGCTCCTATTTGGCGGTCTGGCCGTTCACAGGGTTGTTCCTTTGAAGCCCCCCCCACCGCCAACATGTAGCAACAGGACAAGATCGGGAGTTTTGGTTTTGAGGAGATGGGACCAACCCCCAAAGGGTCCAAAATCGCCATGACTTCATATTTGGTGTTAGGCAGCCTTTTGAGTTGTTCGTGCCAAGAGTCCAAAAGCTCAACAAAGAACAAGGGGGGTCTCCCAGATATGTCCTGAACTTAGCTACCCTCTCAAAAGCAACAAGCAACACTGTCAAGAAGAAACAACACAACTCTGAAACAACTGAAATCAACACCTCCCCTAGCCCCACCTTCCATCAATCGAGGGAAGGTCTTAAGAAGGACCAATGGCCACACCTCCAAACTCAAAACCAAATCAGAACTCCAAAAAAGTGTTTGCTGGGCCTGCTAAGGAGTTGTCTTCAATATCCCCCTGCTTTTTTACAACTAACTCCCAAATGGCAACTTTTGTTCATTTTTTTCAGCGTTTTCCAAGTACAAAACAGGTTTGGTCTTTTCAGGGGACCCCAACATGTTGGTATTCCCTTAGTGTTCCAGGGGACCCCCAAAAGGTTGGTATTCTCTAAGATTTTCCGTTTGAAACCTTTAGAGGCCCCCCAAATGGTGAAACAAATCCTTCGGTGACCCTTTACACACAATCGCAAAGCCAGCGGAAAACAAATAAAAAAAGGCAACAAAAAAACGACGGCCCCTCGAGGGTCCGTAAAAGTGTGCGTCACCCGGCGCCGGCCGCAGACGCACTCGCTGCTGCACCAGTCCGCCAAGGGTGAGGAGGCTGGCTTGCTGCCGCGCTTGGTGGCCTCTCTGCCCGGGGACCTGGCAGATGGAGCGGGTGAAGGGGTCTCTTCCAATTTAATTGAAAACATGTATATATATATATATGAAAAATATGTGTATACGTAAAGTAGGAAAGGTAGTTCATGGGAGTGTTTTTGCAGTCATTTTATGAAGAAAGAAGGAATGGTAGTTCATGGGGGGAGGGCCTGACCATATATATATATATGATTATATATGTAATTATACATATATGTATATGTATATGTGTATATATATAATATATATATATATGTATATCTGCTCACGACCCCCATGAACCACCTTGGTAGCGTATTTTGTAGCCAAAAGGCTGTGGCGGCCACAAATACCTATATTATAGTATGTTATATGTTATATGTTTCAGGATAGACTAGATATGGAACAGAGTCCGGAAGAACTGTTGTCTCCTCCCAAATTATTGTGAGTCAGACTGAATACGGAACATCATCCTATCAACGACATGTACACCAGATTTGGACCAAGGAATCCAGTTTGTTCATTTTTACGGGCAGCTGCAAAAATACTCTGGGGTCCCAGCGGTGTGCCTTTAAGACGCCATTTAGATTGTATTGCGGCTGGGATTGTTTCTTCAACCCCAAAATGGACTCCGTTTCATGTCTTTTTTGAAGTGCTTCTTGATCTCTTGAAGGGGGCTGCAAAACGTCCCAACCCCAACCTGCCCGTAGAAACAACGTCGGACGGATCGCGAATGAAAGCCATCCACCTCAGGATGATGGGTTTGCCACAAAAAGCACCTTCTTTGCGTGTGTTAGTTCCTTCTTGTGGTGTCATGTTTGTTTGAGGTAGGTAAATTATGATATCCAGATAGATGGAGCAAGAGGCTCTCTCGCGAAACCTTGGCTTGCTAGCTGTGTTTCGCTGAGATTTGCTTTGCTTTTTGTGTTTGCAGTGCTGGCATTTCGCGTATGGGACCTTTTCATCATGAGGCCTCAAGTAGAACCAAACCCGACACACCTGGCGATCATGTTCCTAATTGCCGATTGAGCTGTCTCCAAATTCAAATGTGCAAACATGGAAAAACTCTGGAGGCTTTGTTTCTAAGGGTCACGTTTAGTGAAACAAATCCACTGAACGCACCCCTTCCAGTGGCGCAAATCCGTCAGGAGTTGGTCATCCTTGTGGCCTAAATTGAAGCAACGATGATACAACCCCAGATGCTCATGAGGTCTTGCAAAACACTTGAGTTGCTGCTCAGTTTCTTTTTCTGTTTTAACACTCAGGCAAACGATAAACCTGCAAACTCCCGGCAGCACCGCACAACTTCGGGCCGACCCTTCGAGGGATCTCACGCCAAGGTTTCTGATGGTCAGCCAAGACGTGGCCAACGTTTATGACATCGAAGCCGCCGCCGTGCAGGCAGGATCAGTCGAAAAGGCAAAGGCGAATTGCGGCCTTGGTCTAGGCTCAGCTTGTTTTGTGTTTTGTGTCACACGTGTAGTGTTGTATTCACGCTGGACCTTGGTTGGTCCCAGAACATGTATGTGTTTTAAAGGGTCCTGATTCGATGCAAGACATGGAGATGGTGTGAACCTCCAGCACGAGTCATTGACGATGCATCACTCCCTCGCTGGGGGGGCCAGTATTTGGAGACCTTGCAAGATCATGATGTTGACATAGTGGCTGACCATCAAGGACGAAGGCACCCACAATCAAGCAACATGCAACATGGTTTGTGCCCGGAACCACGTAGAGTCAATTTTCACCTGAGCCTCCAACAAGGTCTGAGTAGATGAGGGTGAGCCCGTTAATACCTGGCTTCTAACACACCTTTGAGAGATGTCTAGGGATGAGGTTCTTTGAGTGGGTGACACGTCAAACCTCCACTATCATGGATCGGGAAACATGCATCTTGTTTGCATACCGTTGTCATCCTCAAAGCTCTTTGTTCTGATGGCCTGAGAAAGCCTTGCGGAGACCACTGCTTCGCCTGGGTGGCGAACAAGCTATTGGCACGGAGTAAGTTGTGCGTACAATCAACAAAGCACGCGTAACACCCAACAAAACATATACGTGTTTGCTTTGCTTTGGTGTTTTCGGTTACCCCATGTTTCAAAGCAGCACAAACCGACACACACACACACAGCCCCGAACAAAGCGAGCTGCGGGTGCGTTTTGCGTGTGTTGAGCCTCGCCTCCTGTGCTAAGCGAAGACCTCGCGAGGTCTACAATGAGCAGGTGGACGACTTGCTGCACCCGGATCACCAAGGCGGCCAAGGCGGGCGAAAAGGCTTGAGGCTACCCTTTTGGAGGTTGGTTTAAAGGGAATGAAATGGAAAACCGAAGCCATTTTAGGGGTCGCCTGCTATTCCAAGACACACCCATGCAGTTGATTTCCATTGAGTCCTCTTTAGCGGACACATGTGGACATGCAGGCGGGAATTCATGCCCACCCACCACCTTTGGGTGTTCCAATCAATTTCACTGCCCTGTTGGTCCAGAGATCCCCCCGATTTCCAGAAAAAAAAGGTGGTTTTTTCAACAAAAAAGGCGCCGGGCTCCGGGAAATCAGATCCTGAGGCAACAACTTGGTGGTGCGGGACGGGGGCGTGGTGAACGGGCTCACCTGGATCCGCTGCATGAAGCCCGACGAGATGCTGGCCCAAAGCCTCAGACAGCTGAGCGGGGGATGTTCTTCGGCACTGCGACCTCCGTGGGTTTTCTTGGGCTCCGGTTCAGTGGCCAAAGAATGGGGCCTTTATAGGAAAAGACCACCATGGTCTACCGGATTGTCATCCAAATTGGGTCAACCATTCTCATGGAGGTTAAAATCTATGGGGCTCGAACCCTAGGGTTGGAGTGTTGGCTGTTCCCCTTACATCACGCGGCAAGAATCGTGCCAAGCCGTGGGCATGTTCAGTGAAATGGGACGTACCGAGACAATAGGCCACATGTCAGGTCTTTGTTCCTGCAAAAGGCAGTCAAGGTGGGATCTTCTAAAAAGAATCTGATTGACGACTTGGGTCTGTGAATTTGAATGGGGAACACCCACCCAAACAGTAGGTGACCACAATTCCCACCCAAACGATGTCCACCCAAGGGTTCCCACATAGAATTCATACATCAACTTGCGTGTTTCTTACCTGTCCCTGCCAAGAATGACCGAACTGTCAAATACGCTTTGACCTACCAGAACTGAGGTTTGCCTTTTGGGCAAACTTGGAAGAATTGTGCCAACACGTACTGTGTTACATAGGGTGGCAAGGTCAGTTCACATAATTATCGCGCTGAGGCCAATATCACTTTGGTCATGCCAACCACCCTTCGCACCCTTCAAGAGTTGTCCATTTCAGGTTGCATGAACTGATATTCCGCCTGTTGGTTCCTCAAGTAATTGGGCACTCCAGAAGGCCTCATGGGGTGTTGGGATTTGTGTGTCAGGAAGCATTCACCAGAGCGCGGGCCAATGTGGTCTACGCAGAGACCAAGATGAACAAGGTCGACTTTTGGAGGGGCTGTGTGGGCCGGTTGCCATGAAAATTCCTGGAATCTCCATGATCCTTATGATGATTTCGCACCACCTAAGAAACCCCGGAAGGATGATTGCCTTGTAGATACCATTCAAAAGGGTTTCCCATGGTTTCAAAGTGGTGCAGGATATCGTCCATCCACAGTATTCATATAGTCTTTATGGGCATTTGGTTGGTTTTTTGGACTTTAACTTTGTGGGAAACAGCGGATTTTCCATTGGACCCACACACAAATCAACTTTTTGCAGAGGGGTCAAGAGCAACCAAGATATGACGGCTCCAGGGTACTGTATCCATCGTAAATGAATAGCATACTCGTGCGCTACTGTATTAGTCACAGACAATACTGTTGGTAGTCCACCGCTGGCTTGGGGAGGACAATGTCCCGTGTGTCCTTTGGGAAGCCGAATATGTTGGCACGCTGCTCGTCCTTTTCGCATGTCCCCTCAAGTTTTTTAAGCCAGGATGAATGTCTCTGATTTCCGCTTGCTGGAGCATTCGATCCGTTGAAGGGGCCAGGCCAGGTCCCCAAATTTCTTAAAGATGCTTAGGGTACAAGCGAATCAGAGGCCAGTTGTTTGTGCCCACAGACCTAAAGCCAAACTGAAGGTCAACCTTCAAACGAATATCCAAGCCGAACTGGAAGTGATGAGGGCCCCCCCCCAACTGGATCTATCAATATATATATATATATACGCAACAAGGGAAACATGTAACAAACATGAAACAATACAAGTCGAAAGCGGATTGATGCAGCTTTTGTTGATCCACCCCCTTGTAGGTGATTAAAATATTGTTAAAAGAGTACGAAAAGAAGGACCAATAGAGGGAAGAACGGGCGGAATCCAACGCGTCCTACGCGTGTTGTACAAGGGAAACTCAAACTTTTGAAAACAACACTATTCGGAACAGTACATGTCATGTACATCTGAAATATGTGGACTTGGAACGAGAGCTTATGGTATTTGGGGGGTCTTTTTTTCGGGCCAGTGGTGTTCCCTTTGGCTTTGAAACCGGCAAAGAAGGACAGCTTTCAAGTTCACCACCCATTTTTGTTGCTCGACCAGGCAGCCCGCCTTGGCCGAATCCGTCAGGCCTCCAGCCGGTCCCACGCCATCTTCCAGCTGCGCATCTCCAAGCGCGAGCGCGTCTTCGAGGCGAAGGGCGCCTCCAAGGTGGAGTGCACCATCGCCAGGCAGGGTTCGGCCAAGTGAGTCACTCACGCTCAAAACCCGGGGAGTAAAATGGTCGGAATCCCGGAACCGTGCTTCAAGAATTAAGAAGGCGGAGATCCGCAGCTATTTCTGGCTGGGATTGCCTCTTACCTTACCCCGGTTTCGATTGTGGCTCAAATGGTTCTCAAAATGGACCCGGCCCCCAACTTGGTTTTGCTCTCCTTGTGATGTCCCCCTAAAAGCATTGACACAAGAGAGAGTTTTAAACATCTCCAAGTTGGGAGTTGGACCACTGTGGTCTTTGCTTGAATCTCATGAACCTTTTAAGGTTATGAAGGGTTCAGAGTTGTTTCGTGGTTTCAAAGAGACAGAAGCCAGAGAAATGATATATATATATATATATATGTATATGTGTACATGTATTGCGTTGGGAGGCTATTTTGAGACATCCCCATTTGACCTCCCGTTGCGACAAGAAACAGAAAACACACCTTCGGCCCTTCGGCCCTTCGGCCCTTCGGCCCTTCGGCCCTTCGGCCTCCCCCAAAAAAACTGGCCCAACATGGAGTGAGCCTCGGAAAAAGCAAAAGACAAAAAAAATGTTTTTTTTCCTCCGTTGCTATTTGTTTGTTTTGATTTGTGTTGTCTTCCCGCTCTTGTGGCTAATGTAAGTCTACACAGATACCTAGCCGCACTCGGCCAACTGAAATACAGGCTCAACGTGGTGGACCTGGCCGGTTCGGAGCGTGCAGCTTGGCAAAAGAATCTGCTTCGCTCGATATGGTTTCTTAAAGGATGCATTTGGGCCGGGGAACAAATAGGTGCTTCTCAAATCTCAAAGCCTGGGCCCCTAGAATGGTTTGTTTCCTTTTGGTATCCACGGAAAAGATCAGTAAATTCCCAATCTGTTTGGTGCTGGGGGCTCCGAAACTTGCGCAAATGCCTTGAACGTCATTGAGCAATGAGCAACGGTCAAAGATCCCACACTTCCTTTGCATTCATCATGTCTCTAAACCTGTGCGACCTTTGATTCATGGCCTGAATGGAGTCTGCAAACTCAGCTCTGGAGACGGCCCATGCATGAGTGGTCGCTCTTCGGCTCTTCGCCCCAGGTGAAGAAGTCCGGGTCCGAGGGCATGCGTTTCCAGGAGGCCACCAACATCAACCGCAGCCTTTTGGCCTTTGGGCACCTTGCTCGCTTCAGGGTGTGGGGAATGATGCAAAGGTGGCGCCCGGATGTCATGAGATCCCAACTTCGCCTTTGGTTCAATGCCTTCTATCCTTTTGGTGGATCATGTGCTTCCCGCAAATCAGGCCTGAATCATGTTTTGCGGGATGCGCGCCATGGCAGACGGGTGACCATTTTCAGGCGCTCGCCAGGTTGCAAGTCATTGCTGTAACATGCCGGTCCTGGGAAGCTAGCGCATTAGTGGTTCCTGCTTTTAAGCTCTGTTTCCATAGGCATGGAGAGGGATTCTCAAGCAAACTGAAGCTTGTGTTAGATTCCAAATGGCCCAGCGAGGCGAGCAGGTTTTTGTTGCCCTTGAAAACATGTCCCACCACCTTCAAAGGCAGGTCGTTTGGGCGCATTTACCATTCATTATATATTTATTCGTTATGCTCGTGACGGACGTCTACTAGTCTACAGCCCGCACTAACAAGGTGTCGTCATTCCTGTTCACAGCGTTCCAAGTCGAAATCATTCTGGGGCCTTCTCCGTGGGGCCGATTTTCAGGTGTCAGGTGGCTGACGACGTCTCTGGATGGCATCGGCCCTCCGACGTGCCGAAAACCACGCGGCGGGGAAAGCTAATTGTAACACGGCACCATCCCAAGGTAGCCACCAACATCCTTTGGAATTGCCAACGCGTTGCCATATTGAGCAAACCTTTTTTTTTTCCCACTGCCCTTTTGGATATCCTTCCAACATACAAGTTCATAATATACAAGTTCATGATTTGCAGCGGGTCTCTGTTTGGACGAGAACATGACGGGATCCCCGGTTTTATCACGGAACCGGTTCAATCAACGGAGCCCAGGAATGTCGTGAGTGCCCTGGCTGCCCGCAAGAGTCACGTCCCGCTGCGGGACAGCAAGCTCACCAGGAGCGGTCCGCTTCGGGCTTGGGGCTGTAGCACCCAGACCTCCAGTGGTGACCATGTAGGGGTTGATCCGTCTTCCATTTAGGGCCCCAAAATGACCATGTCTATCACTTTTCCCGTTGAGTGGGGAAATCGAATCTTCTTTGGTGGTTTCCTTCACATGTCATCCCATGTAAAGGACCTTTTGGCGGGGGGGTTGCCGTTAAAGTCAACTACCAAAAGACGGTGCCATGTTTCACCCCTGGCCACTGCTGTGGGAGTAGTGTAAGGGCCTTGCTTTTCAGAATATGCCTTATGGGGTTCTTAGGCAGCCTGGGTCATGGTGATGTGGGAAGAAGGTGTGTAATTGTTTAGCCCCTTTTAAGCCCAGCGTTCCATGTTCGTTACTACAACATGAACTTAAACCCAGGGGTGGTTGATTTCCAAGGGAAACCGTTGGGTTTTAGTCACCCTGGTCGTCAAAAAATGAACCCTGCTTGTACCAGGGTAAAGTGGAAAAATACAATCCCGGGTGTTTGGTTTGGTATCGTCCGGGGTGGGGGGGTTGACCCAGGTTTGTCTTTGGACACCTAATGATGGCAAGGGACATTTGTCCATGTTATGGCCGGCGCAGCTGGGTGCAACGCAGTGACACACACACACACACATGCACACACAAGTTGTTGCCGTGCTTTTGTTTTTTGGCCACCCCCAAACTCCCTAAAGGTCGCGCACTCAGTGCCAGACCCGGATTCGTTGGTTCGTTTTGGATGTCAGAATCGGATGGGATCCTTCGCCTTGTTGATCTGTTGGACGCCTTGTTTGCATTGAGCCTGCCACAGGCGATCGGAATGATTCCGCCAGCTTGGATCGATCCGGCGGGGGTGGTCGGGGGGGGCAAGAATCGAGGAGATAAATCCTCACTGGCTCCTTTTGGTGGCCAAAGGCCACGAAAAAATCCAGGTCAGTGTCTTTGCCAAAGTGGGTGGGTCTTGCTTTAGGGGACCCCCCGCCAAAAAAAGATGGGCGGGTTTCCTCTTGGGACGCCTTTAAAAACCACCAAAGCTTAGAAAGCAGATGCACAAACTGAGGCAAGAGGTGAAGCAAGCAGAGGCCTTCCCTTTTTGAAGGCCAATGGGAAGTGTGTGTTCGGGAACCCTAAGGGAGGCTGGTGAGAACTCTGAAGTGAGAACACCGAACAAAGTCTTTCACGAGCAGGGTGGCCAAAGGGTCAGGTATTTGCAGGTGTTGATGTTTACCCAATCCTTGGGCAAACGGGGTATCTCGAAGTTCCTTCCTGGGCTCTAAGTCTGGTCCAGTTCAGTGGGCCAAAGCTGCCGGGATTTCTCTCAGGATCTTGGACGGCTCCATCGGCGGCAACTGCCGCACCGCTCTGCTTGTCTGCGTGAACCCAGCCCAAGAGCACGCAGCCGGCCCAGACTCGCGGGCTGCTCCCTTTTTCCTTTGCTTTGGAACTTCCCTTTAAAACAACTTCCATAGAAAGATAGCCCTTTCTTTTCCCAGGGTCTCTGGTGGTCTCCCTATTTTATGGATTTAGATCTCACTTCGGGGGTCGTTCACGAGTTCATGATGGACTTAGTTGGGATTTGGGATATCCTCGTGAGATCCTTGCCGGCAACATTGAGAGTCCTGTGCCAGGGTGAATGAATGTAGGGATTCCAGTTCCCTGCGCAGTATAGGGGGTTCGCCACACAACCCATGAATGAAGCTTCCTGGACCCTTAAAATTCCCTCAAAGACGGGTTGTTGTTCCAAAAGTACGGGGTGCAATCCATTTTTAGGGGTAGTTCGAGGGTTCAGGTTCCTTCATTGGGATCTCTTATTTCAGGCTGGCAAAAAGTTGCATGCCTTATCACCCATCAACATGAGCTTGTCTCAAAATAGGAACACCCCCCTTCAAGTATATACTTAAATTTCGAGTGGTTTCCATGTAGAACAACTCAACAACAAAACGTGACATGCCAGCGAAAGGATACCAATTGGCAGGGTCACGCGCTAGAGGAACGAGGAACCCCGCTACATACCGTTTTTCACTTTGGTATTTTTGTCAATTGTGTTGAGTTGCCAGACTTCGAAAATCCAGCGAGAAATGGGCATGGGTCTAAAAGCTGTTTGTTTCTCGTGGTGTCCAAATGGGATCATATCCTTGGAGTCCAGAATACGAGGGTTAGTGTGGACTCCCGTCAAAGAGGGTTCTGTAAACGAACAGGTCGGTCACGGGAAATCTCTTCAGACCCTGGTTGTTGTTGTTCTCCAGAGGGAAACCGCCCGGACGTAGACTACACTCCAGATAATCATGGGTTCCATTTGAATTTGCTGGGGGGGGGGGTTAATTTGCTGGTTCTCAGCAAGGAATGAGGGAATGACCCTTATACCCTCCCTTTGCGTCCGGGCCGGACTCAGGTCAATGAGACTGTGAATACCTTGGAGTTTGCCTCTCGCGCCATGCGAGTCGAGGCGCTTCTTTTTGCGGGATTTGTCAAGCGCCAGGGCACTTCCATACCTCAAGTATATGGCTGTGGGTCAAAACTGTTTTGGTACCATTTTGGGATAGGTGAATTCACCACCCATTTTAGCCTATTTTAGTTGGTTGGATTGGGATGTTCACTGGGGGTACGGGGTTTTGACCCATGGCCATATAAGTCATGGAGGCATGTGTCATGACCAGGTCTTGTAGTCGTTCTCAAGACAAAGGTGGGTATCTCTAGTATGAGTTTGTGGCAAGGGTTCCCTTTACATTTGGGTGAAAGTACATGGCGCAATTCCACCCGTTTTGCTTTAACCATCCCCATTTACTTTCTTCAATAAATATTGTTGTTCGATCGACTTTTACCTGGTTGGACCTAAGATTCCTTTTGACCATGACCAGCTCCGGGCTTAACCGTTTGGCCATTTGGCAAAAGGGACTCCATCCCGATCGGCAAATTTGTTGCACGAGCTCAGATGGCGTAAAGCTGCCATGAGCATGTTTGTGGAAACCTAACGAACAACAGTTGGGAATTCGTATACTTGGCTGTTCAACCAAGAAAGTTAGGTTGCAACCATGGTTGTGACAGAGGAAACCGGGGTGCAAACTATGGCCTAACCACCTTACTAAGTTGGTTTGTGAACCCCCAAGTACATTGCCCAGACTTGAGGAAACCATAAATTGCAAGGCACCCCAGAACTTCCAAACCACTCACCTCAACCACCCATGGCAGGTGGATGCCAAGGTGAACACCGCTTTGGTGGAGGTCAGTGCCAAGGACAGGCAAAGTGAAGGTGCTGCGCTTCTTGGGGTTGGCTTCAAGGCAAATTCGAGGGACACCACATGTTTTTTAGGACACATACATTAATATATATATATATATATATATATATGTATACATATCTTCTGTATATAAATTATACATACATATATGTTATGTATATAAATTCCGTAAGGGTAGTCCACATATTTTTGACATGCAACCCCAAAAGGTCCCCCAAAACAAGACTGCTGTGAGGGAACTGGAAAACAATGTTGAAGGGGTTCAAGCAGTTGACTTGTTTGGCAAACATCTTGCATATGTATCCTGTTGACATATACACCCATGAAACTTTTCAAGCCAGGTCAAGGCGGATCCAGGGCAACTGATGCAGAAGAAGCTTGCCGCATGAGGGGGGTATCCAACAGCCCCAAGCAGACCCCGGGTTTAGAAGGTCCATTGGAGTAGGTCCGTGCTTTGTCAGACAAAATGGCCTCGGGTATCTGAAGGGCCACACAGACTCGAAGGAGTTCCAAGCGACGGAGGAATTTACCAAACGCGGGGGTTCTTAGTTATTGTAGTGGGTTGGACTACCAACGTTTGGTTAGTGTTTAAAGAAAATTCCGAATGGAAGCACGCCGTTTCCAGGAACTACACTTTGGACGCCGAGTCGCAAAAAGGCAAATCAATCAATTGGTTAGTGTTGTGTTTATGTTCGTTTCCTGAGAAGCATCACCTGCAAAAGGGTAGGAATGGGTCGGGGCAAACTTCGCGTCGAGTTGCTTCCGGTGTTCGCTCCCTCAGAACTTGCTGGCGGACCTCAACCCCGAAGCCCACGAGTTCGGCAAGAAGGTCATGGCGGACAAGAAGGAGATCGAGGCCTTGAAATGGGAAGAAACGTTTGGAATCCCCAGAATTTAGGTGAGGCATGACGTAAAATGGGGGGCCCTTTCAAGTTGTTTGAATCCCCTAAAGAATGTATGTAACGTGGGAAAGGTCCCTCGCTGTTTGGGAATCTCCTTGGTCAACTTACCTTAACATACTTTGGTATCACAAGAATTGTCCACATGTGGGGCTCAACGTATTCCCCTAGGCAACCAAAGATTGTGAGCAACATACTTCCGGCGATCCGAGACAATGGCGCCAGACCGGCTGGAAGGTGTGTGCAATCCTTCCAAGAAAGGGTGGTGTTGGTGCTCTGCCAGATTTCCAGGATGTCAAGACGTCCTGAATGGGTCTAGGACGTCGTGGTGTTTGAATCGTTTTAGGTGAATCCAAACGCATCCAACAGGAAACACTTCATCCTCCAACCCCCCCCCCCCTGCTGTCCAATGCCCGCACCATGGCAAAGGAGGCAATTTTATCAGATCCGGGGTTCCGGTGCAGATCGCAGAAACCGCTCATCTTCCCAGTTTGGGGGGGGGACATGTTTTCCTTTGCTGGTGCTCAGGGAATGACCTTCCCAGGTCTTGGGAATGAACCGGACCGGGATTCCCACGGAAGCCAAATCGGGCATGTTTGCGTTCTCGCAGTCATTCCATTTCTCCCCAAACTGCCTATCGCAGCAGCAGGAAAACGTCAAATGTGTCCGTATAAACTGCATGTGTCTGCCTTTCCGGCCACGAAGCCGAAGCCGGGGACCCCCCGCCCCTCCTAATCTGTAACCCCTCAGGCGCTGCGGAAGCAGTCGGCCGACGCGGCGGAGCAGGCGAAGCGGGAGGCCGAGAAGCGCGAGAAGGCCATCCCCGCGATCGACCGGGCGGTTGGCAGGGGACGTCCCAAGAAACAGCTTGTTAGATGGTCTAGTGCTTGGGGTTCCATTTTTCTTTAAGTTGCCAAGTTGTTATTTGGTTGGTTCAGCGGGTGGGTTTCCATTGAACCCACTAAACCTCCATTTGCTGAAATCAATATGTCTTGTTCTCCGCTGTTGGCTAACGGGAATCTATCGCTGCTGGACAAATATGTTTATTGTTCCCCAGTAGACGTACGGAGGAGCCAATCAGTACCATGTTACTGTTGCTATATTCGCAAGTGTTTGTATTTTTCATTTGAAGTGAATGATTTCTTTATTTGTTGTTTCCTGAGTGTGAAGGGGCTGAAGGGGTACACTCACCAGACCCTGAATTCCCGCCTTTGGCCACCGCCACCCACCGCCAACCTGAAGATGACGAATAGCAACAGCCAAATACCGCGTGCGGCATGGCCACTTGGCAACCAAGAAGGTCAACATCGCTTTTGATGTGCTTTGTGTTTCTCCTTTCACTCGCGTCGGATGGCCACGACAGATCCACTTGGCCGCTTGCGCGCAAGGCCGTCCAAGAGGCAGAGGGCCACGTGAAGAAACTGCAACAGGCCTTGGCGACGGAGAGAGAGGTGGCGGGAATCGGGTGAAGCCACCTCAAGACGCATTCCCTGAGTTGCTGGACTTTATATTTGGGAAGACCATTTTGGCGACACACAGGAACCCGCTTGGGCGTTGTTTGGCCAGTGTTTGGCCAATGCACTGAGGAAGTGAGAATGTCAAATTGAAGAAATTGAGTACGCGCGCTATTTGTCCAGAATCGCAATTGGTTTGTGACGGCCGTTAAGCTTTCTTTCCTGAGGGGGCTTCATTCAGGTTGACAAGTTGTGATAATTCACCCATGCACGGGAACCGCTTGCAAGGTGTTTGAGAGGCCTTTTTTCTGGCGGAGTGTAGTCACATGGGCAAAAACATGTCCGAACTTGTTTAACATAGTCTTCCCAAAAGCAACAAAAGGTCCAGGAAGTCGCGGAGTGAGTTGTAACCTCCGTTGGTTGCGTCAAGACGTCTTTCAAAACCAGTCAAGAGACGCATTCAGAGACCTAACTTAATCACTGGCGTGGGCTTCAAATCCAAAGGAATCGGTCGATACAATCGCTCGTTCGCAGAATGGCCAGGGCTCTTTACCAAGACGAGAACGGAGAAAATCAAACCTATGATATGGCTGTTAAGCGCGGCGCGCTAGCGCATGCATAACCGATCAGCCACAGCAAAGCCAGGCTGATCCCAGACCAATCCCAGCGGCTTGCTTCACTTATTTCCCTTTTTTGTTGGGGGCAATTTGTTCATGGGCACTGGGTATGGGTGATCAAGTGCTGAGCTGGTTTCTGGATTGGTGCATTCAATGATGTGCCGTGCATTGGCTGCTGATGGCTGGGGTTTGGTGTGCTTAGATGTGGCTGGATTATCGCCATACTTCCTGGCAGTACGTGTCACCTTCATACACTAAAATGACATATGAATGGTTGACGGTGTGTTCAGGTCACAACCACGCTTTCGACTTGTTTGAATGTTCTTGCTGTCCTGGACCTCATATTCGGGAACAATGCCATTTGGAGGATGCTTGCAAGTTTCCAGTCGACACTTCGTCGGAACGGAGGCAATGGCAGTTGTTTTGTTTGAGCTGCCCAGGAAATGACAAGTGCGATGTTTATCCGAGCAGCTCATGATTGTACGTTAACTTGGATCTGTCCTTTGTTAAAGGTACCCCATCTTGTTTGTGGTGTGAAAGGAAACCACAATGAACACCATTTTGGGGGGGTCCCCTGAAAAAAGACACACACACACACACGCACTTGATGTCGGCAAATGGCTTTTGTAAACAGGCACTCTAATTCATGTTCCACCACATTCCATAGACGCAGTCCGTTGCTTTACCAAGCACCTTTCTCGCTCGCTCCCCCAGCCGCATCAAGCAAGGGTTCCGACACGAGTATGCGAGCAGCAACCCCTGGAGCCCATAGAGCCCATGGCGCACGAAAAGCATCGGCTCAGCAAGCCATTTGATTCCATGGAGCTGATCTCTCAGCCTGCGAATCCCTTGAAGCGCCGTGAATCGGAATCTGGGGCAGTGGCTATGGGGTTTGACATATGGAGAAGTCGATGGTTAATTCGGGAGGAACATGGGGGCTCACTGAAGTTCTTGCAAAGATCAGGGGGTCCCATGTGGCCCAGGTCCATTATGGCAACAACCAACTACTGATTTTTTGTTGGATGGTTTTGGAAGGGAAATGGCACGAAGTCAACCTTGAGGTGCTAAGCACGGAAGGTCCTTGGTGGCAATGAAATGCAGGGAGCAGCACAGTGCTGATCTCCATAAATATGTCTTTGAAAACTTGTCGGTAGAACCAGACTAACGTTGAATGATTTGAGGCGCTGCTTATTGGAGCGATTAAAACGGCTTCATACATCTTAAGTTGAGTTGAGCAATGGTTGACAAGGGCATGGGCATGGTCCGCAGGTGTTTCAAACCCCTCTCATGAAAGATACCCAATGTTGAAACCATCCCCAGGACCCGTGGCTCTAAAGAGACCTCACAGAGAAGTTGTTTCTTTTTCACCATGGCAGAGATACAATGTGAGGCCATTGGAAGGAATGAATGTGGATATCCCCGGTAGTTGCACTTTGGGTGACAGACTTTATCATATTCCGCAAGCCGCAACCTTTGGATTCTATCACTTTGGGCAGGTTGTTTCAGTCTCGACTTCTCATTTGTGCTCAAGAAATGGCAAAAGGGAGAAGGTCCCGGGTGAGTAAATTTGGGGCATGTGTGCGGTTTCGACACTTGATCCCGTATGTTTTTGGTCTGAAGCTTTATTTGTTTGGCCGCATTCTGTGATCATGTGACAAGTTGCCATGGGGGGCCGTTGGCCCCCAAGATTGCAAGTGAACCACAAATCCAACCGGAAAATCCGGGTGAGCGAGTCATGCCGTGGATCCATGTCGCACCCCTGAAACATGGTTGAATCCATAACGTTTGTTGTTTTTTGAAGGGGAATCAAATTACTTTAGAGCCTCCGGCTCAGTCCGCCGACATTGGCATCTAGCTTGTCTCCTCTTCCTCTCGCCCGTGTCCCCCTAGTATGCTCTTCTGTCCTCTCTGGTTCCCCCATCCTCCCCGACACGCCGAGCAATGTCGGCGGAGTGTTGAGTGCCACCAAGAGGGTGCTCCCAAAAAGGGCGCCGAACCATGCCTCCAAGTAAAATGTTGGGAAAGGGTGGCGACCAAACAGGGCGTACAATTGCGAACAGGAAGGCTCGCCGTTTAGGGCACCTTAGTGCTGGGTGGTATGTCATGGCCACTGCATGTCATTTTGGCGGGGTGCGCGGATAAGCTGATTTCTGAGGGGTGTTGAGGTTGCCCCTTGTACGGCATTCTTGCTTGCGAGAAGCGTGGCTTAGCATGGCCCAAGTATCCGACACGAAGGACATTGGGGGCGACACTTGGAAGGAAGCTGGGGTTGGGGAATTTGCCAGGACATTTGGGGGAAACTGAGGGGGGAAATTGGGGGGAAGTCGGATGGAAATTGAAAGGAAAGTGGGAGGGAATTGGTGAGAAAGTAAGGCGCAATTTGCGGGGAAGCATTGGGGGAAATTGGGGGAAATTGGTGGAAATTGGTGCCAATTGCCAAGGAAATCGGAAAACACAATGTTTTTTTTCAATGGTGTCAGCAAAGGAAAAGCACCGAACACCGTGTGTCTCAAAGTTTTCCGCAAAAGGCAGCACAAAACCTCAGCCGGCAGAAAGAGGCGGCGGGAGGATTCGAGCCTGGGACCCCCGTTTCTCCAGACCCGCTCCCCGAAGACTACGTTTAGTGGAACGTCATCAAATTGCCGCGCGGTACGCGGGGGAGGGGGGGGGGGGTGGCGACCGAAAAACCATGCGTATTTGACGTGTCCCGGGGGGGGGCTAAGAAAAGGGTTATCCTCTATCCTCTCTTAGGTATCCAATAGTCCTCTCTTAGGTATCCGACACGCCGAACAATGTCGGCGGATTTCAGGGTTTGTGAACGGTGGTGGGAAATGGATTTCGCGACCATGCACTTTGTAGCATAATTGCCGCATATTTGTCTTTCGTCTAATTTGGATCCTGAGTGAGGGGTCCAAGACTGTTCTCCAAGGAAAAAAGGCACCTTTGTGGGTTCCTATTGGACAGGAGGGTTCCTGTTTTTTTGCAAATGACGGGGTGAGTTCCCATTTGTGGCAGTTTCAGGGTCCAGGTCCCCAAAATGGAACCAATTCTTTTAGCCTTTGCAAGAGCCACCAAACGGTCAGCTCTGTGGGGCCGGAGGTCACATGGACCTGGACTAAAAGACTAAAACCTGCGGTCCAGGGTTGTGGGATGGGCTTTCAGTCTTTGGGAACCTTTGGTTGTATCACAGAAGTGAATTCCATTTTCTACAGCCCTGCTGCTGTCCATATTTTTGGGGGAGGGTTCCCCTACTAAAGTAGACTACAGAAAAAGGGTGCCCTCATTCCAACCTCTCTACTGGAGGACCTAGATCTGCGGTCCACAACCTGCACAGACCGAGCCGAGGTGCCAGCCGGGGGAGCTGCTGTCGCCAGTGTGGCAACTCCGTGCAGGTGCCAATCTGCCCCCAAACGCGGCGCTGCGGAAGGCCGGCGGCGAGGCGGGGGGCGGGGGGGGGGGGAAGAATTACGGACAGGGGGGGGAGGATACATTATGGGGGCGGGGGGGGGGGAAGGGAGGGCAGGGAGGGGAGGGGGAGGGAGCCAAAAAAAAAACCTTATGAAGCCCTTATTAAGGCCTTGTTTAGGGCTTATTTGGGCTCCCTCCCCCTCCCCTCAGCCCCCAGAAATACAAGTTCGGGCCAGAAAAATTACTTTTACTCAATCCTTGCCTAGACACACTTAAACCACTCATCTTTGGAACCGACGCAAGTTTCTAGATGGAAGCCAGAGGACGCTGGACAGCTGTGATACATCCATGCGAGCCCCACGCAGGCTCAACGGATCAGGATTGTAAAAACCAATGGGCCCCAAAATACCCGAAAGCAGTACTGGTGCACGCTGTCCAATAGATTCTTCCTCAAAAGGTCACCCTGAAATAGTATGCGGGTGGTGCAGATGTCGAGTTTGTTGGTGTCCCACAAGGCCATCGGAACCTTTGCATGTCTTTCAGGAAACACCCAAATTGGCCACTCGCAAAGCTGGTTGGTGGACATCTTGTAAATCATGTCCAATTCATAGGACTCAAAGGTACTGGTTTCCAGCATCGCAGCCCGCTGGGCCCTAGGCGCACCCAATTAAGATGTGCGCCTAGATATGCCAACCGATGCAAAGCAAAGACGAACTCCAACTAATTGGTGGTTCCCAGCCATCCCCTTAGCTTTTTAGCCTTTTAGTCTTTAGTGGGGATTTTCATTCAGGCCACGAAAAGTGAAACATTTAGCGGGGGATCTGAGGACAGCCCAGCCAAGAGGAGACCCTCGTTGGAGGGCAAAGTAAGACCTGGGCACCTGGGCACATCTCTGGATCCTTTCGTTTCCAAGCTGAAGCAGCCAGGTCGTGACGGTTATCGCCGACCCAGCTCCGCGGCCGAATTCTTGGGAATGGAACCAGAGCTGAAGGTGTTCGAACAAAATATTTTTTTTTTTAAGAACGGACCCTTGCTTTTTAGGGGAAATAAACTGAGGTCTAAACTCTAAGCAGCAAAGGTTGACATATGGACATAGTGAGACATCCTCGGGTTTGCCCTCCAAGCTTTGGTTGCGGAAACACACTAGTTTCCAAGCACGAGTGGTTTGGACATGTTTGAAACAGTCAGATCCTGGCCCCGTTTGAGCAGAACCCAGAAGGCGGGTGTTTGATCAATCGTGATCTGAACATGTAAAAGCAAAGGGTTGACCCAACCCTCAGCCCTGGGAGGTTTTGAGTTTGGGGTGTGTATTTTGTTTGGTACCTGAAGAGTTGCCGTGTTTTTTTTGTTAAAACCATGTTGTAGGGTAGCAGGGTATGCAACATAACATAACATATTGAGCACGGTCCACTTACTAAAGTTAAACATTGTATACATGGTGTAAATATAAATATAAATAACTATATATATATATACACATATATATGTATGGTAGGGGTCGACACCCCTTCCTCCCCCCCCCCCCCCGCGGTCATGGTTCAAAAGCATCAAGCGCCCTGTGGTCTGTGGTGCTGTTGGGTTGGGGTGGGGGTTGGGGTTGGCCCAGGGGGTTGTTCCTCGGGGCGGCCTAGGTACCTGCGAACTGCTGTCTGGAGCTTCAGCTTCAGCTGCATGCGCCGGAGTTCGAGGGAGACGTGGCCGCTCGGATCGATATGAGCCAGAAATAGTGTTTGAGGGTACCCGAACCGTCAGACTACCCCCGTAAAATGGGAGCGAATTCCCCATGATATTTGGGGCAATGACCCGTTTTTCAAGGAATTTGTGGAGGATCCAGGTACCCTTTTTGGGTGGTTTTGTAGGGACACCAAAAGGAAGCAACCATTTTGGGTCCCCCATGAGACACCCACGTGATTTCCTGGATAGAATCCTCTTGAAAGGGAGGTTGCGGCGGACTCTCACTTCAACTGGCTGATTCAACACGTACGGGCCGGGCTAGAAGCTGCCGAATGCACAGGCCGAAATCGCTCGCGGCTCAACGCACGATTCAATGGCCGACTTTTCCTTTGGGATCCTTTGGGGAAAAAGTGATTTGGCAGGTATTGGATTGCGACTGCAGGTGGACGAAGTCCGTTCGCGCAACTTGAAGTGTGTTGAGGCTCTTGTTGCCACAAAGGCTTAAAGGGGCTGGCCAATGCAAACACAGTATGCTTGCGGCAGACTCTCCAACTTGCAGACTACTCTGGATTTGCACCACGACGTCCTCAAAAAGAAGTCACTCAGTTGTTTTCCGCGCTTCATGTGGTTGACGAGAAGAGGGGCTTTTTGCGATCGGATTTCGGGGAGACAGGATGGGCGTCGGGGGTGCTTTGAGATCAGGTCCAGAACTTTGTCTTCACCAGCGAGGGCGAAGTCCTGAAAGAGCTGTCGCTGGTACTTTGCATCAGGCGCTTGTGCGGGCGATCTATTTGGGACCCTGATCCCTCCAAATCCGACCTTCTTGTATCTTAGAGACCCTGGGAAGACTTGTACGAGAATCCACGGATTTGTGTGTGCTTTTTTTGGTTGGGGGGGACTCCTTTGGGTTGGCGCTGTAAAGGGAAACACACCTAGGGGCTTGATTTGCAGAGACTGTCAGAGACACGGGCACGACTTTACAGTTTCCGGCCATTGAGAAGTTGTTGATTCAGGACATCTAGAAAGAAAGATGCAAGAGATGGTAAGGTCAGAAAAGAAGCCTTTTTGGATTGCTTACACCAGCGAGAACAGCAATATTCCTGCTGGTGACACGTTCCAGATTGGCTACGGTTACCCCAGGATTGATCAACCCCTGGTTGATTCACGGGGGTGGGGGGGACGTCCCTTTGTATGACTGCCGGAAGAAACAAGGGCCATTCATCCGTCGGGTTGAATCCGAGTTTCCCATTGGACGCCACGCTAGCTTGGATTGTCTCGAAATAGGCGACTACACTTCTTTGAAGCCCGGATGTGATTCTGACAGCGGAAACTCTTTCGTGCAGGGCATTTGTGAAAAGAGCATTTGTGCGGCTGCTATTGCTTTTTGAAAAAGCATGGCGTCGACGCGCTCGCAAACGGCTTGGGCTTACTGAGGGCACCTGCCACATTGGACGTAGGACACGGCATCTCATTTTTTGAACCCCAAAAGTGTGCCCCTTTGATTTAATTCTACTTGTGTACTGCAGCAAGCTGTATTTGTTTTCAGGAAGGATCCTCAAACCGCTTGGACATCACCCCCGATGTCCAATGGGTGCTCAATCAACAATCTATACTCGTTTCCCCACAGGCTCCACCTGTCCGGAATTCCCAGAAACACCTCTTGATGGCTTCACCTCCAGGCGCTCGGCGAAGGAGCGACGCGCCTTCGGCTTTCAGATGGCCGAAATCGGGCCCGGTTCGAATGTTGCAGATGTACCCCGTACCGGGCAGCAAGGGACAGGCCCAACCAGAAACAGGTGCCGCCCTATGCCGGCCTTCTAAATCTTTCCCATGAGATTTGGGTCGAGCACTTTACTCAAGTTTGATCTTTCAAAGGGGATCGAAGTGCGCCACGATGTGCTTTTGGTGTCCTTAGCATGTCAAGGCACAGTACTTGGGCTACCAGAGGTGGCCACCATTTGGGAAGGAATGGCAAACAGGCAGCATTCTTAGTGGTTGAGTTTATTGTGTAGAGCTAGAGCTTGGTTATAATTGTTGGTTAATTATTGCTGTAGTACTAAGTGTATTTTAGAAATGGCCAGTTGGTCATGCTTAAGCAAACCATGTAGCTGAGCATCAGAGACTCGGCTGCACCGACCTCCGGGTGGAGCATTCTGAGCTGGCCTCTTTTCAAGAAGGCTTCGGTAAAGGCTTTGTATGGCCAGTATTGTGTACCCTTCTTCATGTTTTGTGTGCTGATGAAGCTTGGCAGCAATTTTGCTTCTGGCGTTTGATTAATCGGCACCGGGTTACCTGGCAAGGAATTGTGGTGGCTTGCATGTTGAGCTAAGCAGAACCTCAGGGTTTCTCAGAGCTCCGAGACCCTTGTCGCTCCTGATTTCATTGAGGATTCATTGCGCTTCAGGCCACCAGACAACGTTCGAGCACAAGACTTAGGTTGATGGAACTGCTGCAAAAAGTCACGCAGGTGTCTGTTTGCGAAGGAAAGTGTCTTTCTCTCAGAGAGTTAGTGCAACTCACGCAGAGGCATCTTTGGGATAAGACCCGGACTGGGCCCCGCGTTTGCTTCCGATGTTCCGAGCCGTGCCCTGGACAATTCATCGGACCAATCGGACGCAACCCTCCCCCCCCGCCTCCCCCGCCCGGGGCCCGCGGCGCCGAGGTGCTGAGGCGCATCCAGATCTGGGCATCATCCCTGGCAGCCACACCAGGAGGCTTCGGCAGCGGCTTCCGCGTTCGGAATGGATCTGCCCCAAGCCTCCGAGAAGAATACAGAGGTGCACTTTGCTTGGATGTTGGGATTTTTTCTTTTTGGCAACTACTGGGTTTTCCATTAAACCACTAAAGTTAAGCCTCTTAGCAGGGGAGCAGAAAGCAGCCGAGACTAGGTCTACACGCCATTGTTTCGGACAAAAACTCCTTGTACTATTGCGGGGGGGGGGGGTCTGGCAGGTGTTGAATGGTTTTATTGGGATCCGGTTTGATGCTCGGGTGCCAAAAGTGGAAATCCATGTGACAGGGGCGGGGGCCAAAGTCGAAGTCAACGGATCTATGCGAGTTCTGTGGGGAGGCGGGGGCGCCCTACATAGGTGCCAGCTGAATTGCTGCTGTCTCAAGAGAAGCTGTTTTGGAGAGGTGATGACAGGTTGGACGTCTACTTGGACACCTTGCGTATGTTGGGCCCAAGCCTCAATGATATAAGTCCTAGCGTCAAACTACAGCATTTGCTGGCCAATTGGCAAGAAAAGAGTGCTTGCTGGCAGCTGCCCTCATACCATGTTGCAGACTCTTTAGCTGATCCCTAATTATTTTCTACAAGGCAGTTCCAACCCTAACCCCACCCCCTAAATACAAAGGATGCAAATACTGCAGCAAGGACCTTCCCCCCCTTTGGGGCCTTCTTGTTGTGTCAAGCTTCGATCTGACTTATGTCACTTGGGTCAGGACCCCCTAGCTAAAGGCATGCCAAGAGCCTTCCCAGCTATAATTTCGCTGGTGCTCAGCAGGGAATGAGGGAATGACCCCTATACGCCATCCCTTGTGGTTTCCTTTAAGGGGACCCTTGGGTTCATTCCCTCATTTCCTCCTGAGCACCAGCAAATTTAGTTTGCAACCTCGCAAGGGGTGTTGGCTCGACCGATTCCTCTTCGGGGCTCTGATTTGAAGCTGGCAAGTTATTCAAACTGACCCATACATCATATTTGTCCCCAGTGCGCGAATGCAAGCAAATTTCACCCAGAGACCACCGATACACATGCGGCAGGGTTGCTCCACACTAGGCTGTCTTTCAGGACTGGTGGTTTCCTCTAGAAACTCAGGTGCACAAGCCGACCTTTTGACCTTTTGGTTTCACCTTGTTGGCAACTGTTTTTCATGGTCCCAAAAGGATAACCTTTTATTTCTGAGTCCTTTGGGAGACTGAGTGATTATAACCTGCACAAGTGAGTTGACCATCTAAGCCCATAACTGTGATAAGTAGATCCGATAAGTTGTTTTGTAGTCGTGTCCCTAGCGTATTTAGGCCGGCCAAAATCCCAGCATTGCGGTGGGCACGGCAAGCGGCGAACCAAGGCCATTCATAAAAAGTGACATCCTCGAGCTTACTCTATTCATTGTGGTTGAGGGGCAACCAGCCCCGAAATTATAGACCTGCATAGTTTATGCGAGCTCACTTGGGGGCAAAACGATCTCACGATCGTAAAGGTCCTTTGCTTGGGCATTTTTTATTTATTTGTTTTTAATCAGTTTTGAACTGATGGTAAACTTTGCAGATAGAGGTTAACACCATGTTTCGGCAGGTTGAATTGCGCAAAACCTTGCGGCAGGATCTACTTCGGCAAGCTCAAGTTGGACACGGACTTGCCCAGCAGCGAGTCGATTGTTGCGCCTGAGGTGATCACCACGAGGCGATCTGCAGATCAAAGGATGGATCTGGTTTAAACTAGTTTACGCTTGGGTCGTGTTTTCGCTAGGGAACCCTTTTTGGGGTTTGGAGGGAACCTTAATGAAAGAAACTAGACACATTTTTGGGGAGTCCCTCGATTGTGACACATGCCCAATTGCGGGTTCACTAAATGTGGCCCGAGTCAAGCATGTGGCTTTGGTTCGGAGCAACAGCTGAGGTAGAAATGGACGGAGACACACGGTGATGTCTCCATTTGTTGTGGTTAAATATGCGGTACAGACTGTACGGAGCCTGTAAGAAGCACACATAGATGCCGTTGCTCATGTTGGACATGTGGTTGCTGTGCCAGTTGTTGGTATTATGATTGTTGCCTCTGCGTCCACTCACTTCCGAAGTTCCGTTTCAGACCTTCAGCTTTTTGGGAATACCATTTTTCCTACAGTGATAAGTAACAAGTTTGGACTCTTGTGGCCATCCACTCAAAAAGTGAGTCAACATGGCGCCTTCACGTGAGTTAGTATTGAGTTTTGAGTCATGCAGGTGAAAGTGCGCACACTCAGAACTGTCGACCCCCTGTACGGACCGGGCCGACCGGGGGCCCTTCTTTGGACTCCCAGTTTGAATGTGCACAGGCCCAACTTAAGCGAAAGGGTTCAAAAAGAAAGCACCATCATTGAATATTCTTGACAACCTGGCATGTGCAGATTCTAGGCAATTTGTTTTCTTTGCATCATGACACTGCAAGGAGAGGGAGATGCTTGTCTCTCTTTCTGCTGCAAGGTGCACACTCCACATCTTCAGTGTGGTGACTCCAGTCGAACAGTCACCGAAATTCAGGACCCAGTGTGCCAACCATTTTGGCCAACAATATCGGACAGTCTCACCCAAGTCTCCAGGAGTTTCTCAGGACTCTTAGGAGCAGCCTTCTCCCAACACAAGCCGGGCCTCGCAATGTTTGAGGCACGCCAAAACTGGCCCCCTTCTCCTGGGCATTGTTTGGGAGGGTGTTATGAGGTCTCGCGCTCAAACGCGCCACTTGCAAAAAACTTCAGCAACTGAGAGGATGCCACTTCCCCAGTTGCCCCCAGTGGCGCTTTTGCGAAGGCTTCTCCTCTAATTCTCAAGCAACCAAAACCGCCATGCCCTTTTTTTCTCATGAAATCCACTGGTCGTGTGAGCTTATGTGAGCTTCTCTGGACCCCGCTTTTTTTTATGATCGCGCCAGGGGGGAGGATGACTGGCAGCTGCTGGACGAGAAGTTGATGCCACTGCCACCTCAGCTGCTGCAGATCTTTGGCCCTGAGGCGCGGGGGAAGGCAGGCTGACTGGAGCCACAAATTCGCTTGGGGCACAGGCTCTTGTTGGCACCTGTTGGCACTTGTTGGTTGTAGCTGATGGCTATATATATATATATTGGTTTCTGGTGCACATGATTGGTATGGGTTTCTGGCAACATTGCCCGTGACTTTTGCATGAGGACGAAAAAACGGCAGCTTGATTTGCCATGTCACTGGGTCTTCTTGGTTCCATGCACCTTGTCAGGCCGATATAGATGCTTACAACCATGCGATCCTTTCGGCTACGTATGGTCACTTCCGGGTGTGGTCTCCTTGCCTTTTTACAGCACATCAAGGAATCAAGGAAGGCACCGGTTGGACAGTTTAAACATGGTCTGCAAGGTTTCGGGAGCAGAAAGGACGATCTTTTTAGATGACTTGCAAGGTACCACAGCTGAATTTGCCAATACCAATACCAATACCAATACCAATACCAATACCCGACCCTTCATCTCTGTTCTCCCGAATCCGAACCCGCTCCCAGTTACACTGCCCCCGCCGTTTGTTTCAGTTCGGGCGCAAATCACCAGGCGCCGCTGCGTTTCAGCGTCAACGGCGAGGAGAAGGCTGGATGATGTCAGGAGATGTAGCCTCGTGATGCTGTTCATGGGCTTGCCTGCGGCTTGTGTCATTCCCTCGAATGACCAATGGGTTGTCGCGTTCTCTACATGAAAACAAGCGACTATTGTCAAAGAGATCCTTCAAGAGAGGATTCTTGCCATTTTGCACCCTTCCCTTGTTGCTTGGTGGCTTGCTAAACATGCCACAAAAACGGTTCTCCTCTTCAATTACGATCACCAAACAACATCCATGTCTTTCAATAAACAATACCCTTTTGCAAGCTCGTACAGTGCGAAAAAGAACATGCGCCAATCAAAGCAGATGGACTTTGCTGGTGGCTTGCGGAAAGGATGATCTCCATCCGTGACAAGAGCAGCACCCAAAATTGGCCATTCAGTAGATGGTTCTACTGTCTTTGCTGGTTCTCAGTAGGGAAGGGTACCCTCAAGCAAATACACATCTTCTTGTTCCAAAACAAGTCATAGGTTGCAACTGAGGTGCAATGCAGAAGTAAAAGGCTTGCCAAAGCGTGACAAGATCCGGCCTTGTGTGTTCAATGAAGGTTTTGAAGGCATACCACAAGGGCCCAACACACTTTACTGGATTGTCGGGTACTCTAAAACCAACTTGCGCCATGATCCTAGACACTTTAGCTTTTACGTAAACATCACACATGAACTCCAAGGCGATACATCTTTTGGTGAGATCTCCGTTTGGGGGACCCTTTTTAACCTTCTTGGGTTCCATGTTTATCCGGATAGCCACCACTTCTCGGGCTTGGTGTAAGGGGAGACATCTAGGGCCCACCCCCCACCCACCAGAATGGTGGTCGGAACCATTCTTTCAACCCTTCCAAGCGTTCCAAGGTTCTTATAACCCTTCTTGCCCCTACTGTGGATGGACAAAATCCACAAAACGCGTCAGCTGGGATTGGTCGTTTATCAACCACTCCATTTCCCTTTTTTCCGAAAGTGGCGATCGTTTTCAATGTAACACTCCAGTGAATTGATCAACTTTTGAAGGGCACATCCAGTGACCCCTATTGAATGCGGGTTTCCTCTATCCCAAGTGGTGCGTTCCAAAGGCCGTGCCGGCACACCTGCCCCTCACCATGAGCCTGGCGGAGTATTTGCGCCGCTGGATTCGCGTGAAAAACTTGGGGCGTGTCTTTTGACCTCTTTCCTTAGTTTGGGTGGCTCAGAGGGAAGCCAAAAAGAAAACCACAATTTTGGTTTCGCCCTTTTTCTATACATCTCCACATTGTGAACAGCTTTTTGAGGGTTTTTGTTTGGGTGGTCAAATATTGACAGACTTACACCCCGTTTCGCCGTTTTGCCCTTTTGGGGTTCCTTTGTTTTCCCTTACGGGCTTTTCGTCGGGCCAAAGGGCACCGAGAAAGAAAACCGCGTGCCTATGCACATGAATTGTGATCTCCCTGGAAAGAATTCTAAAGGGACTGGGGGGTGATGAACAGCACACATCGTTTGGATTGTCCTCAAACAGAAGCCGCCACCTTATTGATCTTCATCAGATTCCCCTAAAGCAAGCCAAAAGGGGATGGAGTTCTGTGAGGAGTTCCACAGCCTCTGTCACCGCACCCAGAAAGGGGGAGCCCGCCCTGCAAAGGGAGCCATGAGTGTGTTTTGGTTTGAGGCTTCCCCTTTTTCGGGGTAGAGGACCAAAAGGAACACCATGTCGGAAGTTTTCTAGAGAAATGCACGGCGTTGGCAATGGCGGAAGTGGTCCCTTGGGTCCCAAGTTGAGGGTCTGGTCTTCACCCCGATCCACTTCCATAAGCGGTTCGATGTTAACCCGGACAGCTGCACCCGGAACCCCCTGAAGAAGGAAGCCAACAAAGGGTACAGACACCTTCCAAGGGTGGTCCATTTTTATTTGAAGTGCCCTTGCCAATTTGGGTATGAACTGACGGCCCCACGGTGGTGGTAAATGGGTGTCAATTTTGTAAAATAGCAACCCTGGTTTTGTGGGTTTGAAAAGGGAACCAATGGAAAACCACATATATTTTTTTGGAAGGTCAACCCTCTTTTTCTGGGCTTAAAAAGGGACACCTAGAAGAAAACACACATGTATTCATTTCGCTTTTGGGGGGGCCCAATAACAAAGGGGACACCGAAACAAAGACTTTCGCTGATGTTTCTTGTTCTCCAGACCCTCTTGAGGCTATGAGCTGGGCCTCACTGGTACCAAGATCGGGTGCGGAGAGGCCACGCCTCGATCCGCTGGCTGCTCTGTTTTTCCCACCACAAAAAGATGGCGCCCTTAGAAAGAAAGGGGCCAGGTGTCCACACCTCGATCCGCTGATGCTCCGTTTCCCCCCAAAAAAATAAAAATAAAAATGGTGCCCTTATAAAGACAGGGGCCAGGTGTGTGTGTGTGTGAAATGGTCAAAGGGTTGCGTTACAGGGAAATTCTGCAGGAAAGCAGCTTGTTTGCGGTGTTTTGGGGGCAGTTTCTGTAGATGTTCCTGTAACCAAGCACTTTGAACATTGGGGTTCCCCAAACATTGCGATCTGCATTTTGGTTTCCCTTACCAACCCCAAGCTCAACGAAGCACACAGCCATATCTAGTGAGGGTACTCGTTCCGAGGTTTGAAAGTGAGACGAATGCCGCCATTTTGGATGGTTCCTATTGAGGCAAACCCCATGTCGCAAGGAAGACGGCCGTGATATCCAGATGGCCGTCAAATGACTTGGTGGATATCTCTGGATCAACCGTAACCCCAGTGAACGGGACCCAATCCCCACTAAAATAGGTTCTAAAATGGGTGGTGCACCTATCCCAAAACGGTACCATAGGTTTTGAACCATGGCCATTTGACGCCATACTAGTGTGTCTTTCTTTGAGACCTGACCGTTTCGCCGCGTGGTGATGCAAACGCAGAAAGGCAATCCTGAAAAGCGCGCGGGCAAGACAAGCCGCTAGCTTAGTGGCACCTCCCTTGTTTCTCGCCTTTTTCTTGGCAATCTATGACAATTTGTGTGCGTGTTTGTGCGTGCGTGTTGTTCCAGACCCCCTATTTAGATCTATTTAGCACCCAGCTTTTTCCTCTCCTGGACCACACATTTTGCGACAAGGATTGCTTCAGGAGACTACGAGTCTTGAGATCTTCAGTGGCTTGAGGTCGAATTATTTTGTCCTCCTGCCAGCTGTTCTCTGGAAGGAAATTGGTACGAGACTGGAGATCTCACCGAAGCGGGGGTGAAGCGAGCTCACAATGATGAAGGTCCTTCACCCCTTATTTCAGGTCGTGGAATAAGTGTAGAAACTGCACCTTCCCAGACTTACATGGAAGCTACCAGGACCCCTTTGGAAGACTTAATTCTATTTACAGACGCCAATAGCGGGAGCTTCCATGTTAGTCTCAGGGAGTGTAGATTGATATTGAACAGAGGTTGGCTATGTCATGACCATGGTGACCATGATGGCCAACACAAGTCTGCGGATTGGAGTGCCGCAAGTTGACTGACTCAAGCGAGTTACAGCTTGAATTGATTTAGGGATTCCACTCGGTGGGTGATATGTTGGGAGAAAGCCTGTTTAAAATCCCCCATTCAGCCTCAAACATTATCCCTAGTGGCTTGGGGCCCTGGGGGCAATAAATTTGCTTCCCATGAGCCTCTTTGGGCCAAAAACAAACTATTCTTCAGGGCAAATGGGTGGGTGTGTTTTGAGGACCCCCTTTTTTTGTGGTTTTAAAGAGACACCCAAAGGAAAAACCACGGAAAAACCATCAGTTTGAAGGGTCCCCCAAATAAGAATGTGAACTTCATTTGATACATATTTAAAGGGGTTCTGGCTCAATCAGTCGCCAGTCGAGTTTTTGTGTGTCGCCAGGGGGGCTGTGGCGCGTGCACCGTGCTGCTGAAAGCACCCAACGCCAAGCCGCGGTTGGCCAATGCCTGCCTGCGACCGCTGCACTCGTGCTGCCGGCTTTCTTGGGCCTGAGGGGCTTCCTCCAAATGTTTTGGTTTAGGGTAGACTAAATATGGCCATGGGTCAAAACCAATGGTACCATTTTGGGGTAGGTGCACCACCCATTTTAGAACCTATTTTAGTTGGGATTGGGATGTTCACTGGGGGTACGGGGTTTTGACCCATGGCCATATCTCACTTCCTGAGTTCCTGGACTTTTCAAATATTTTTGGGAAGACCAGTTTAGCGGCAAACAGAAGGTTTGGACGTTTTTTGGCCACTCAGGAAGTGAGATATGTTTTGGTGTGCCCCGGAGTTGCATGGCAGGACCTTTGTGCGGCACTGTGTCCAATTCGCACCAGTTGGGAGAATGCGATAAACCACCGTTCCTGCTTTGTTTTGCTGATTCTATGGCTTGCTGGTGGTAGAACAAACTCACTAATTCTGACGTAGGCATACTTCGAGGCTTTGGACATATTCCAAAGCGTGCAGGTGCCAAGAAGGTATTAGTAAGATGTCGGGCTCCCCATTAAAAGAGAACTTTCGACTATATTAAAGCCAGGTTTTCACCAGGTCACGGAGTGATAGGGAGTGAGTTTGAGATCGCCATTCTTGATACCCTCTTTCTTCTTGGAAGACATGTTTTATCTTCCTTTCAAGTGCAGGTTTTGTGCAGAATTGCAAAAGACTAGCCCATGCGTGAGTTCCCTTTCATCACTAGATCCAGGCGGTGAGATGCATGTCCTTGCTTGCAGTTTGCAGGATTGTGTAGGTGATATCTTAAGTGATATCTCAAGCTGATGCATGCTGACACTTATGTTGACCCCGGGTTACCCAATCTAGCATATTCTACCGATTATAGCGGGGTGACTTCCCTAAAAGCGAAGGATGCCCTCTAAACTGGGACGCCTCCTGTTACTTCAATTCGACCATTCTTTCGTCAGGTCAACTTGCATGGGAGCATTCCTATGACCAATTTCTGACGAGCTTACATGGGGTTAAACAAGCTCACCTTTTTTGGTCCCGCAACAGGGGGCGACTCAAACAAACCACAGGGACTTGCACGGAAGATATGCGCCAGTTGTCACCCTTCTGGGAAGCGCGCTGGAGATGACCCACGCTAGTAAAGCTACAAGGCTCCTGGCCAGTTCCTGGCTGTTAGGGCATCAATCAGTCCAACAATCCATGTCCAACTCTTTTTTGGGAAATGAGTGAATCAGCGTCGCGTTGGGAGACGTCCTGTGAACCAGTTTCATGCCGTAGGATTGCGCAGTGGGCGCTGTCAAATTAGGCATTTCTCATGCAACGGCTGGCGTTCCTTCGGGTTTCTCCTGGTGTTTGTTTCGTGTTTTTGTTTTTGCCTCAGACTGTCCTTTTGCTTTCCTTGGTTTGTGAATATATTCTTTTGGTTTCCTTTGCGATGTTTAAGACGGTGGTTTTGTTTTGGCCTCGTCTTCTTCTTCTTTGGGTCGCAGCCAGGATGCAGGGGCTGGAGGTGACCACGGTGGAGGTGAGGAAAAGCCAGTGAGTTTCAGGTTTTTGCTAATTGGTGTTTTGGCTTGGTGGTTTGGGGGTTTGGGCCCCTGGTTCTTGTAGAAGGATAGATGGGAAACTCCTCCTTGGACGCTCCGCGGGGTTTGGTCCTTGTTTCCATCTACCAGGCAAGCCATTTTGGGGTTACCGGATTCTTGACCCAGCGCCACAAGATTGGTGGTTTATATTTAAAATAATAAAATAACCCTGGCTTTTGTAGAGGGTAAATGGAAAACGACCCACCGCACAACCACGCAATCACAGAATTACAGAATCACACAAACACACACACAGACACAGACACAGACACAGACACACACACAGACACAGACACAGATACATACACACACATACATGCATACATACATACAGACACACACACACACACACACCCACACCCACACCCACACCCACACCCACACGCCCACCGCGCACGTGCACGCGCACGCGCACGCGCACGCGCACACGCACACACGCGCGCGCGCGCGCGCACGCGCACGCGCACGCGCACGCACACGCACACGCACACGCACACCCACACACACACACACACACCACCCACCCACCCACCACGCACGCACGCACGCACGCACGCACGCACGCACGCACGCACGCACGCACGCACGCACGCACGCACGCACGCACGCACGCACGCACGCACAGACACACAGACACACAGACACACAGACACACAGACACACAGACACACAGACACACACACACAGACACACACACACAGACACACAGACACACAGACACACAGACACACAGACACACAGACACACAGACACACAGACACACAGACACACAGACACACAGACACACAGACACACAGACACACAGACACACAGACACACAGACACACACACAGACACACACACGCGCACACACACACACCACACGCACACATACGCACACATGTGAAGTATTTTCGGGAGCTCCCAAAACGGCTTTGGTTTTTCTTTTGGCTTCCCCTTATAACCAACCAATAGTGGGCTCCCTATCTGTCAGCCTCCCGTCCGATATCGCAAAAACCAGGTTAGCGAGTTCCATATTGGGAAAGGCAGGAACCAGGAGGTGTTGAAAGCTGTTCAGTTGCCTCACTTTTTGAGTAGACTGGCCAACAAGTAGATTGGCCAACAAAGCTCCAAACTTGTTGTTCAAAACCAAAGTGGTCCAGCCCAAAAAGAGAATAACGTCCTTCCAAAACTCGGGAAGTGAGCTTTTCCGACTCCACCTTCGGCCTCTTCAACATGTCACCGTTTGTGCATCTGTGTGCCTGTGTTTGCGCATGTGTCTGCGCGTGCGCGTGCGCTTGCGCTTGCGCGTGCGTGCGTGCGTGTGTGTGTGTGTGCGCTTTTTTTTGAGGGTACAGCGCTTTTGTGTGATTAAGGGAAATTCACAAGGAAAACCATCATGTTGGGGGTTCTTACAAAAAGACACCCACGTGTGTGTGTGTGTGTGTGTGTGTGTGTGTGTGTGTGTGTGTGTGTCTGTGTGTGTGTGTGTCTGTGTGTGTCTCTGTGTGTCTGTGTCTCTGTGTGTCTGTGTCTCTGTGTCTCTGTGTCTCTGTGTCTCTGTGTCTCTGTGTCTTTGTGTCTTTGTGTCTTTGTGTCTTTGTGTCTTTGTGTCTTTGTGTCTTTGTGTCTTTGTGTCTTTGTGTCTGTGTCTGTGTCTGTGTGTGTGTGTCTGTGTCTGTGCCTGTGTCTGTGTCTTTGTGTTTGTGTTTGTGTTTGTGTGTGTGTTTGTGTTTGTGTGTGTGAGAGAGTGTGTGTGTGTGTGGTGTGTGGGTTGTGTGTTTGTTTGTTTGTTTGTGTGTTTGTGTGTTTGGTGTCGTGTGTCTGTGTGTCTGTGTTTGCGCTTGTGCGTTCTTGCTGGACGGTGGTCTTTTTGGGTAACCACAGCTGCGGCGATTCGAAGTCTTTGAAGACCCCCTCCTTCCCCCCCCCTCCTTCCCCCCCCCTTCCCCCCTTCTTCCCTTCCCCCCCCTTCCCCCTTTCCCCCCCCCCCCCCCTCCCCTTCATTTCGCCAGTTTTCCTCCCCGGTTTCGGCCCCATGGACTCGCAGCCCGCCTTCGGGCTCGCTCCAGGACGTGGGCACCGTGGAGAAGCCCCACGCCTTGCAACAAGCCTTCGTGAAGCACAACGCCTCCCAATGCGGCACGGGCCTCGGCCGAAAGGGGCCGAAAGGGGCCGAAAGGGGCCGAAAGGGGCCGAAAGGGGCCGAAAGGGGCCGCAGGTCTACTTCCATTTGTTTAAGTGGTTGTTATTATTTATTTTCCCCTGCTTCCATTTGAATAATGTTTCTTAATTTTCCATGTTGGTTCTAAAAGGAATCGAATTCTACTGGAAATATGGTTTTAATCTTTATCCAGGGGGCTTAAGCAAATGGAAGTTTACCCCTTGGGTTCCAAGGTTTCACTACAAGATCGACTTGGAACCACCCCTTCGAGAGCAACACAAAGGTTGAAGCCAGAGTTTCTCCTTTTGAGGGGCAATGAACCATCCTTGGGTTAAGTCTAGGGTAGCCCATGGTAGCCCCTTTTCAGGGCAATGAACCATCCATCATCCCTGGGTTTAAGTCTGGGGTAGCCCAAAAAGGAACCTGAGCCATTTTTAAAAATGGGTTGGCGGGGAAGTCGTGTACTTCGAATGAGGGTCTTAAGCATATGGGAAGCCTGTTTTAGAGAAACCAACCCTCTGGGTTGGCGAACAAAGGGAAGTCGAAAGGAACCACACACAAGATTGGGGCCCCTCACAAAAGAGACACCCGTATGATTGTCGATTTCAAGTTTTTGCCACAGCTTGTGCAACAACCAACCCTTGAAAGGGAAAGTGGAAAGGATACAGTGAGCAACAATCAGTCACATGGAGCGACCCACCCTTTTCTAGGTTGAAATCCGGATTAAGGATTAGTCAACCTCTGGTTGATTAACAAAGGATGTCCCATTTAAGGGGAAATCCTGCACTTTTGTGGAGACACTTTCGTTGCCACCTACACGATGGAATCAATTGAAAACCAGATTGTCATGATCAGGCAAATAACGTCTCAATATTCTCGTTTGCCTCTCATGTGAGGTCTGAAGGGCCGCTTTGAGGTTCAACATAATTTTCAGGGTGATTGAACTGACGGGAATGACTTCAAAGTCTCCCTTGATGGAGTTGATGCATGTGGAAAGGATAGCCCCTCTTTTTTCGCAGCGCCTTTGTGGGGTGGGCCATCGGCCCCCGGGGGATGGTTGTCTCCGTCCCCATGTTGCATCATCTTGTGTACCTCAGAAATCGCAGGTTGGAAAGACAGGCTTAGCGAGGCTAGGGTACCTTCATTCTTTTATCTGGCTTCCACATGATGTTTAAATCGGTCAGGCACTGCTATGATCGAACAAAGAAAAACAACAATTGTTCAAATAGTGAAACTTGTATTGCACTGCCATGTTTGCCTAACAGTGTGTAGGTCGCAGTATTTTTCGAGGTACTTCAGCCTATTTGAAAGCCACAGGCCCGATACCAGGGTCCGGCCCTAAAAGCGGCTGGTTGTGAGGATCCAAAGGCCTGCTGGTACGGTGATCCCGGGTGCTCCATGCGAAGACCAGGACCCTCAGGTTTGTGCCTAGAGACTACTGCCGCAATTTGGGCACATCTATAGCTACAACACTATTCGCCTTTCTCTTGCCACAACTTGTCACCATGCTTGATTCTCTGGATGGACGAAATCGAGTTCCCGCATGAGCTACTAATAGGTGATTTGTCTCATTTCCGCACCAGTCGATTGGTGGTTTTTTTCATTTCCAGGGTTTCATCCATGCCAACCGCTGCCGAGCAACGATCTTGTCCCACGCGGGCCTAGGCATGTGCACGCCTGGCATGGTCATGGCCATCTATGGGCATCTCGCGAAGGGCGGCTCCAAGCAACCCCAGGACACCTCTCCCGTCCCTGAGGCCCCTAAGCACGCCTGGCCCCACCCGCCAAACACCCCACAACTTGATCTGGTCCTTTGGACTTTGCCTGTCTTGCCTCATGTTTGCCCCAGTGCCTCATTCTATATATAGATATATACTTGGCCTTTATGTGCATTTATTTCTATACATTTATACTTGGCCTTTAGGATTGCCAAACCATCAGCCTTTGTTGTTTTCTTGGGGAATTACTGGTGGTTCTCTGAGCATGTTTTGGCATGGGGCGGGAGGCCTGGGTACACTTAAGGTTCCGAGTGACTTGAGCTTCACCCCAAGAGCACAGAAGGTAGGGGTTTGGGCTTGCAAAACAAGAACTGGGGGGCTCAGGGGAAATCAACAATTACAAAGCAAAGCCACTTTTGGCTAGGGCTTTGTTGGTTTCCCCTCAGCACCCGAGGTGTGGAAGAGACAACTCGGGTTTGGCGCAGAACTCGAGGAGCTTCAGGGCTGCATCCAGGGCAACCTGTGCCGCTGCACAGGCTATCGCCCCATCCATGACGCCCGGATCCCCAGTCCCAAAGGCGCCATTTGTGCGTTGTTTTTTTTTGTTTGCCCTGTTTTGGGGTGGGTTTAAAAGGAAGCCAAAGTGGAAACCACCGTTTTTGGGGGCCCCCGAAAAAAGACACCCATTTAGAGGAAGGGCTTCACGTTAAAATTAAAGGCAGCAACACGGCACGCCTTTTGTTCCCATGTCTCCAGTGGACAATGGGTGTCGCACGGGCTTGAAGCGTCCCCCTGTCAGGTGCCATGTTAGTGGGAGGGTGCTTCTTTTGATGTTTCAAAGGGCTTAGTTTGGGTTACCTAGGGAAGCCGAATCTCTGGGACTGGCTGAAGCAAGATGCGGAAGCTTTTCCGAGACCCCAAAAGTGAAACCAAAGCCCGTTTTGCGGAGCCCATTTGCCGAGTGCACATCCACTTAGGCCCTGGTTACATATTTGAGAGTTTCGCGCAAAGAATGCGGCGCGGGGTTCATTTAAACCACCCATTTGGATAACTGTCTGTGACAATGGTCCCCCTTGTCCGCGCAGAGCGCGGCACATGCGATTCTTGACCATGCTTTTCCCGACGAGTTTTTCCCTTTCACATCAGCTGCTCCAAAACATGTGCCGATTCCTTTCTTCCCCCAATGGCCACGGCGTCGCGGGGCTGGGCATGTAGTGACTCCTGTAGGGAAGTTTCCTTGTATGTAGTGTAGGTACAGCCAGTATACTGACCTTCTCGCCCTTGGCACTGTTTGGAGGTTTCAGCATTTCCCATTTTCACCAGGTGATCGATTGTTTCCGCTCGGATCCATTTGCCAAGTTCTGCGATATGTTGGCGCAATTCACTTGGAAAGTAACCATCACGGAAACCGAATCAATGCATAGCCAGTCCACATCCATTTAGGGCAACCCTTCCAGTCCAATTCCCATGGTTTATTGGAAATACGGTAGATGTTTCCATGGTTTCCCTTGGTTCAGTCACAAAACATGCGTATGTGTATTGTTTTAGGGGACCCTCCTAACCACAAAAAAACAAAAGCAAAAAGCGGAGCAAGCCGCGGTTTTCCTTCTGGTTTTCCTGTAACACCACAAGCAAGGGTAGTTCCCAAAAGAACGACACCCCCCATGTTTGGTCCACAGCCCTCGTGAAATTTCCACAGCCCAGGCCATGAAGGAGGCCGCAGCCCTGGAGGTGACGTGCTCCCCCGCCAAGGAGCGACCGATCGGGTCGCTGTTTGGCCGGAAGGACCTCAAGCCGTCGATCTGGTTTTCTCAGTGGAGCCTGGGGAGGAGGGGGAGGGAGGAGTCTACAGAAGGCCTTATTCAGGGTCTGCACGCAAACATGGGCCCCAAAAGAGTTGCTAGGCAACTGGGATACTGTGGATGGTTGCGAAATCCATTTTGCACCTAAGAACACCACGGTTGAATCAATTGCAACCATAAAGTTCGCTTGGTGCCGATTTGCGGAGGCGGATTAAGAATGTGTTTTTGCAGGGGACTAAAGCAAATGGATGATCTTGTTGCACGCTTGCTGATCAATAGGAAACCCCCAAAAGCAAACCCGTCTAATACCGTCCACATCCATTCAAAGCGCTTCTTTTTTTCCAATTTCCATGGGTTAAGCAGGGCGTCGGCCCCCAGCTAGGGAGGGGGATGCGAGAGGCGATCTTGGCCACGCTAGGCAGCTGCGCCCAAGCCGATGGTGTGGTTCCGTGATGGCTCCTTGTGGCGCCCTGGCAAAATCGCAGAGGCGTTGGTTCAGGAATTTGGGACTATATACAGGACCGCCACAAATCTGTGCGTGTGTGTGCGTGCGCGCGCGCGTGTGTGTGTGTGTGTGTGTGTCTCTGTGTCTCTGTGTCTCTGTGTCTCTGTGTCTCTGTGTCTCTGTGTCTCTGTGTCTCTGTGTCTCTGTGTGTGTCTCTGTGTCTCTGTGTCTCTGTGTCTCTGTGTCTCTGTGTCTCTGTGTCTCTGTGTCTCTGTGTCTCTGTGTCTCTCTGTGTCAGTGTCTTGTTTTAGGGCACTCCACAAATTGCGGTTTTCTTGTTGGCTTTCCGAGTAAAACTACAAACAGTGGGTACCCTCAATCAAGGCGATACCCCCAAATGGAACCTCGTAGGGATTTCACTTCCCAGCAATCAAAGTCAATGGCTTCCGGTTGGCACTTTTAGGCCCCTGTTGGTGCATCTAGATTGATGTGTATGGTTTGTCTCTTAAATTTGGGGAAACCGGCAAGATGGCCGGCTGGTTTCCTTTGGTTTCCGTTCAAACCCACCCCAAGTGAGTAGCCTAAATCAAGACACCCATGTGAGACTGCAGGATGGCACGTTTTTGTCGGGATCCAGGTTTGATGTGCGGCTCGATGCTACAGATGGATCGACATCTGCTAAAGATACATGAAGGCCTGTCCATAATTATGTTCCACATTAGGAACAACCAGTCAAGCTTCAGCCAGTAAACTGCAACTCAGCCAGGCTTCGAGGCTGAACATTCCAGGGCAGAGCTACTTGGAGCCTCAGGATCTGCTGTTTTTCTTGCACAGGCCACTGAGTAGCCCCTTAAGAACCCGCTGCTGAACTATTTTATACCCTCCATTTGCTGAAATGAATATTTAAGGGCTGCCGCGGCTCATTTTTTGAGATAGCGCCCCCTGCGCCCAAGCCTAAATGAGTCCCCTGTGTGGCAGCTACAATGGGCCAGAGCGGGGCGTTAAGCCCCAATCTTCAGGGGCCGGGGGGGGCAGTCATCATGATCATCATGTCCACGCAGCTTTTGCATGTCAAACCCTCTCTGACGCCACAATTGAAACGTATATCAAAAAATAAGGATGATGACGAGGATGATGATGTTGAAGGATATAGAAATGATGATGATGATGTTGACGATAAGAATGATGAAGGATCATATCGATGATGATGATGATGATGATGATGATGATGATGATGATGATGATGATGATGATGATGATGATGATGATGGGCATCCGTATGATGCCAGTAGTCATATGCTTGCCTCAAAGATTAATCCATGCGCTTGTACTGCAACCACCCTTCCCGTGCGCCTCCCCCTGTGAGGAGAAGGGGTCGGCGGATTTTTCCCAGTGGGCTTTAAAGGGGATCTATCACTACTGGACATATTGTTTTTTTTGACAGGGGGCTTAAGCAAATGGAAGTATAGCGCCTTGAAACTGCTTCTTGCACTAGCGTCTGACTCCTGTAAGTAGCCCGCACTCGCAGTGTCGCGATGCCCGCCCTGCTTGGGGAAGGAGGGTTATTTCGGGGTTCCTATTCTATTTATAGTCCCTTCTTTCCCTGTGTGGGGAAGACCAGCAGCCCCAGAATCCGCTCAAACCCTCTGGAACCTTCCCTACTGACCCCAAAGCTTTCCGATATCGGGAAAAAAGGATATGCCCCATAAGGGAACAGCCTTGGGAACTGCCCCTACGACTGGGAAATTGGGGAATTCCGGAGGCTGGACCCGCAGAAAAGTGGGGGCAATGTCCTCACTGGAACCCACCAGTAAATTGTAGCCTGTCAGGTAACCCGTTTAGATTGGCGGTTAAAATGTGGTCTGATTTGAATCGTTGGTTCTTGAGGGTAAATTGAACCTCACCGGTCTCCAGGGTTCCCTTTTTATGTTGGTTTCCTTTGGGTTTCCCGAACTCCATTTCGCATCACTTTGAAACCATGGGAAGCGACTGTTTCTTAGTATGTACAGGGGATCATTATTCCAGGGTTTCTTAGGTGTTGCGGGATTTCGTACCCCCTGACAAATCGAATTGTGGGTGGGGGTGACCCCCATTTTCCCTTCTAGAAAAACACATGAACAAATGGAACTGGGGAATTATTCCCCCCCCCCCCCCCCCCTAAGATAGGGGATGGATCCTGAAATCCAGCAAGTCCCTGCGCGAGGTTCGACTGCACGAGCCTCAAGGAGGTTTTTGCTGCTCTGGGTCACTACGCCTCAGTGCCGCATCGCCTGGTGGTGGGCGACTCGACTCAAAAGTGGGGGGGAGGAGATGGGAGCTCAAGCCGCCGAAGAAATCCCTTCGGTAGGAATTCGGCTTTTAGGAGGAAGCAACTGCACTAAACAATGTTTCTCTGGTGGTATATGAATGACATCCGTAGTAATCGCTTCCCCCTAGTAAGTTCGGCCTGTTATAGATATTATGTTTCCCAAACCGCCGGGGCACCAATACCACGTTTAGAATAGGCAAGTTCTAAACCAATAATAAGCAGTCGGATTTCTCGCCCCAGACCAGCCCAAGCCTTGAAATGGGGTATTCCAGCATCTTCCAGCAAATTGCTTCCAACTTATAAACTCATATTCAATTTGACTAATTCATATTCATGTCAACGTAATTCCAGAACAAACTGCGCCTTTTTACTTTTGAACCGCAAGAACGACAAAACTACCGGGCCCTGAACGGCTTTATTTAGATTCGTCACTCGGAAAGATTTGATTTCGACGTTTTCCGTGCCGGGGAAAGGGGGACACCCATTTGGACGAGGACCGAAGAGGAAATCCGGTCGACCCCTCATTGCCCTAGTACATATTGCTCGGGCCCCAGCCAATATTCATAGGGGAGTCCGGGTTTATGATGAGGGGAAAGCGATTATATATTGTTTTCTCTTGTGTGGTTCCCCGTTAGAGTCTAGGGGATCCAGCCTCTTTTGCGTTGCACTTTTCTTGGAATGAGGTTGGATGGGATTGAACTACCCTCCCATGGCATGGAACCCGGGGGGTGCCCTCAGGATAATTGTCTTCCAGGACCCAGCGGGAAACAAAACAAATTTAGATTGGCAAGGCTGTGTCTCGAGGTTGTCGCAGAAGCGGCCATGTCCTACGCAAATGTCCATCCAGCTAGATGGATCCAGATAAGATGGTCGCCTGCCTGGCATTGCATTGTATGTAACCAGTCCTATCCTGTATCATTCAGTCATGTCCTGAACTGGATTTTGAACGGGATTGTTGTGATTCCTGGGTTTGAGCATCCCTTTCGAATGGCTCATTTTTGATCCCCATGTTCTGGCCTGACGCAAAAAATGGGTCTCCGATTTGGAGATTGGAGCTCAGGCAATACCAGCACCGGAGTGACCAAGTACTACCCACCACACCCGAACGACGAGCCGAAGGTTTTCATCAACCTCCAGAGACTTGGTAAGGCTTTGGGTGGCTTGGGTCAAAACTTTGCTGGTGCTCACCAGGGAATGTGCGAAACCCAGGCATTCCCTTAAGGGAAGCCACCAGTCTCATGGTTTTCTAAGGGTCATTCCAATTCCCTGCCTATTGCACCAGCAAGGAAGGTCAAGGGTCATAGTCTTCCAGGACTCCATATCAGTGGACGGGAGTGTACATGTTGCTTTTTGTTTCTGTTGCGTTTAGAGGTGGAATTGGCAAAAGCAACTCGTTTGCTTCTGGACCAACTGTGTGAGTGATGAATGTCTTTGTGATCATGTCCGTTATTGATTCACTTTATTTGTGACGAGGCTTCTTATTAGAGTTACTGTGTGTGTGTGTGTGTGTGTGTGTGTGTGTGTGTGTGTGTGTGTGTGTGTGCGTGTGCGTGTGCGTGTGCGTGTGCGTGTGCGTGTGCGTGTGCGTGTGCGTGTGCGTGTGCGTGTGCGTGTGCGTGTGCGTGTGCGTGTGCGTGTGCGTGTGCGTGTGCGTGTGCGTGTGCGTGTGCGTGCGTGTGCGTGTGCGTGCGTGTGCGTGTGCGTGTGCGTGTGCGTGTGCGTGTGCGTGTGCGTGTGCGTGTGCGTGTGCGTGTGCGTGTGCGTGTGCGTGTGCGTGTGCGTGTGCGTGTGCGTGTGCGTGTGCGTGTGCGTGTGCGTGTGCGTGTGCGTGTGCGTGTGCGTGTGCGTGGGCGTGGGCGTGGGCGTGGGCGTGGGCGTGGGCGTGGGCGTGTGCGTGTGCGTGTGCGTGCGCGCGTGCGCGCGCGCGCGGCGCGCGCGTGCGTGTGCGTGTGTGTGTGTGGTGTGTGTGTGTGTGTGTGTGTGTGTGTGTGTGTGTGTGTGTGTGTGTGTGTGTGTGTGTGTGTGTGTGTGTGTGTGTGTGTGTGTGTGTGTGTGTGTGCGTGTGCGGGTGTGCGGGTGCGTGTGCGTGTGCGGGTGCGTGTGCGTGTGCGTGTGCGTGTGCGTGTGTGGGTATTGACGTGTGTAGCTGCCGTCATTTCAGGCTTCTGCATGTTTTCGCCCATGATTCCGGAGCGGTCGAGGAGCGTGGCTGAGCTGCGCAGCATCCAGCGGACCGACAGCGGCCTCACCGTTGGAGCGGCGTGTACCCTGACAACCTTGATCGAGGCGCGAGTGCGGTCCCGTTTTGGGGCAGCGCCACTGACTGTAGCTGCTACTCTTTGGTTACAACTATCCTCAAGGACAGTCTTGGTGGTTTCCAGCCATCCCCTTTCGCTTTTTAGGTTTTACTGCGAGCAGGGGTGGGTTTCAAAACCACTCGGCAGGACTTCCATTCAGTCCGGAAGCCCCATTTTGACGAAGCTGGTCTCCCAACGAGTAAGGTGCGGTTTCATGATGGCAGGGTAATAGTTTAAGATTGGCAAGGCCGTTTTCAGAACTGGTTATATGTGGTCATTTCACCCAAACATTTCCATCCTGGACGGATTCTATACACCTTGTGGGGCATGTGAGGCTGGCAGCTGATGCACGGACTGCCCCCTTCATGTTGCAGGGATTTTTTTAGAACCGGCGCCTTCGTATCATCAGCGGTAGTAGAATTCCCTTTTTGGGAGGTTTCCACATCACGTCTTGGGCCAACTTTGATTGAGCGACAGAATTGCTCCCCTCTAGTTCCAAACTTTACAACTTTCCAGGGGACCCTGGGACAGTTGTCCCAAAATGTTCTCTACGCATAAATCTTATTTTAAGCCCAGTTCTTCCGTGGCAACCAAACATCCCAAGTTTCTTTGCCGATGTTCTGCTCTTGGAGTTATGTGTCAAACTAGGAGGACCCCCAACATTGTTTCTCGTTAAACCAGCCTAAAAAGGGGACAAACCTCGCATTCGCTCCCTGCCATCGGGAGCTTTGCTCGTCGAGGAGTTGGAGACGGCCTCCAAAGAGCGGCAGCAGCTTTTGCCGGTGGTGGAGCACTTGAAGCTGGTGACTTCCCTGAATCTAGATGGGTACATTACCCTCTGTATTTTGTTGAGGCTCAGCACCCCACTGTAGGTGATTGCGACATCCATTTTGCCAACGTAAGAAACCATGGAAAACCATGGTTTGTTGGCATTTACAGGGGAATCGTCTTGTCAGGGTTTGTTAGGTGGGCAGGGTTTTGTCCATCCCCAAAGCCATTTTGGGGGGTCCTCTAAAAGAGAACACACAAAAAGGGTCATTTGGTACATCCTCCAAAGGGGGCAAGCCGTAAGCGAACCCAGCGAACAACTCATGGCGTAGGTCATGTACTTGGAGATTCCCTTTAGGGTTTTGTTTGGTTTCAGGTTTCTGGGCTGTTGAATCAAGCTGGGTACCTTAAAGTCGACAGTTAGAGGTTTGCTGACGTGGGAGTGGTTTCCATTTGAGGTCACCAATTTCCAGGACGCCACTTGAATTGAGCCAGTCAAATGCAAACCTCAATCCTTCCGTTGTCTCCCGAGCTTGGTGGGACTTTTTAGATCTTTTTAGTGTAGCAGGGGATCTGAAAACGGAGCTTTTTAGTGTAGTTTACTTAGTTCTGAGGGTTGTTTCCCCATGATGTTCACCCATCGTTCTGTTAAGCCACGAAGTCCTGCAAACTTGGCGTCTTTGTCTAGGGCCCCAGGGATTACCTTTGTAGCAAACTCCCTCTAGGGGGTTCCTCTGAGTCCCATTTGTGGTGGTGTCTCTCTAGAGACCAAGGATTTGGACTTGCCACACCAAGGGAAAGCCTTTAAGTAACCCAGGCATTGTAATCAGGCCTCCAGTCAGATGTTCCCCTTGTTCCTTTCTTTGGCGGGGGGGGGGGGCCCTTTTAAATTCTACTGTGCCGTTTGCCGCCTCTGAAAATCTGGATGAAGTAGACGCCACATAATTTAGATCACAGGATTTATGCAGCAAAAGGAAAGGAGCGTTTTGGAAGAGGAATCTTTGAAAAGGCCCTGCCCCTTACCGGAAACCACTGAACAAGCTTGCCTTTGACCCCTTTCAGAACCCAGGGGTTGCCTTTAGGAACAGCCAACAGGGATTCGGCCCACCCCTAAAATCGTTTGGATTGCCAAACCCCCCAGTTGAAAAAAACCGAGATAAGGGGTGAATAGCCTTCAAGGTCTCGGGTCAGGTGCCCAGTGAAATTCAAATGTTGAGATTTGTTTTCTTTTCTTTCTTTCTTTTTTCCGCGGGTGCAGAAACAACGAGCAGTGAAGGGACCTTTGGGTGGGGGGGGCGATTTCATGTTGGGTGGAACCCTCCAGAGTCGTCTTACGCATTTAGCTGGAAATCACGGCTCCCGGAAAAACTGCATCGCATGTTCCATACGGGTGTGTGTGTGTGTGTTTGTTTTTAGGGAGCCCCCCTTTTTCTGTTGGATTCATGTGGGCTGAAAAAAATACCTCGCGCCTTTTCGTTATGTAAGGGGCCGTCCCTTAACTTGTTTCGCAGGCCAAAACCATTGTAAACCGATACAGAGGAAGAAAAACCGATACCCCCAGAAGCCATGAAGACACACATCAGGTCCAAGTTGTTGTCGCAAGCCAAGAAAAATATCATAAATTTGCAGGGCCCAAACCGATACCCAAACCGATACCCAACCGATACCCAACTCAGTGGCCGCCACGCCGAATCTACTGCGCATACTACTGAAAAGTTGCGACTTTCCAGCTGGAGCTGCCAAAATGTACTTTGCGTACTACACTTGTACTGGAAAGTTGCGACTTTCCAGCTGGAGCTGGGAGCTGGCAGAGTGTACTTCGCATACTACACTTGTACGGAAAAGTCACGACTTTCGAGATAGAGCTGCCAAAACACTGCAAACCGATGCAGAGGAAAACAACCCGATACTGACCGATACTAGGGCATAAGGATACAAGGATTGTCCACGGGGTTGCATTTTCAACCCATGTGGAAACCAACAAGAAACCATCTTTATTTTTTTGGGGAGGGGGTGCCCCCAAAAAAACAAGGAAACCCCCTAAACAAAAAAACAAAAGCAACAAAAAAAACAGATGCAGCCGCTGGAAGCCTGTCGGGCTTCGATTCCTCCCGGCGAGGTGGCGCATCCGCAGGTGCGGGACGTGGCGAGCTGGGCGCCTTGGCCCAACCGACGCGCGGCTTTTGGGATCTCCGCAGCCGGGAGCCGACCATTTGGCGAAGCCAGCCATCCGGTTCCCACAAGCCCCTAGCCATACTGGATGAAATCCCGACTTGGGAGAGATGAAACCCTATAATCCAGGCATCCGGTTCCTTAGCTTTTTAGATCCTTTCAGTGTTTAGTGGGTCGTTTCCCATTTAACCCACTAAAAGTTGAACTTTGGTGGGGGATCTGAGGGCGGCCCAGTTTCCTGTTGGTTCAGGGTGGTTGTTAGGTAACCAAGATATTTTTAGGGTGACCCAATCCGGAGAGCCAATGGGGTGGTTGTTTTGGCAAATTTGGGCACCCGGATTGGGCACTGAATTCAATATGAAATGTTCTCGGATTCGAGCCTGTTTGGACAAAATCTAAAGGTATAGCATGCACCAGGAGAAATACGAGTATCAATTTCAAGGTCCATACCATTGCGTGGCGTTTTGGTTCGGCCTCTGGCAGTTTCCCGACAAACTGGCAAGTCATGTTATGACTTGTTGCAGGAAAGGTTGACCCCGAGGCATTTGACCCATGGCTTTTTATGAGTTGCCAGTCACATCCCCTATTTGTTCAATGTACACAGAAGGATCCCCGGCTGGCAAGTGCAGCTAGAATGCAATGCCGTGGCCCGTGGACAAAAGATTGGGAGCCGGGATGGATGAGTGACGGTCAAACCTCAAGGGTATCAAATCGGCTTGCTGTAGTTTTACTTGACCAGACACCAACGGCCTACCCTTTAGCCAATTGTCTCCGATGGTGCTTTTCGGAGCAACCCTGTTTGAGGCACCACAGCCCATGCATGCCTGCTGGGCAAATGTTCACAAGCTCGGGATGAATGCGCTTGACTGGCTTCCCTTATTTCGTTGTGACTCCAAGGCCGGCAACGTGATGATCGCCAAGACGCACCCGGACTTTCCCAGCGACGTGTGCTTGCTTCTGAGCACTCTGAAAGCCAAGCTGACCCTCATCGATTCAGCGCAGAAGACGGAGCAGCCTGGCGAAGGGTTGCTTGAAGGAAAAATGTTTGAAAGTGTCATCAGTTGCATGTTTATAAACATATCAAAAAACTTTCCATCGAAATGATGTGGTGGCTGGGTGCCGCATTTAATCACCTGTCTCTTCAAACAGTAACGGTCAGTCATGGGCGGCCTTTGCCTGCCAACTGACTTCCTGGGCAGCGCTTATGTTGCCAAGCCGGCACCACTAGATTTTGGCTTCTGTGGGCCAAACTCCTATGTCTATGTGTCTAGATTTAGCTCATACAGATTCTTTGAAGGCAACACTGCTGGTGTTTTATGATTGCTGAAACAATTACTTCTGGAGTATATAGTTGATTAGACAAGAGTCTGCACTAGTTGATACGCCGTTTGTCCCGCCACTATCTGTAGGGCCTAACTGGTGCAGGAGTTTGCTCATCCACATTAAACTCAGCAGTTCGATGCTTGTCTTTACGCCTCCGTAGTTACACGAAACCCCTTTGACTGGAAGCCCAGGCTCTTACTTGCATCTCCAAGAGCAAACTTGGTGGAGTTGGTGGAGCCGAGTCTGACTCGTTCATGACCAGATGTTCAAACCTTCGCCTTGTTTCGTCAGCTGTGATTTAGCGGGACCAAAATGAAGGTTCACAAATTGTGCTTGTGTTTTGCGCAAGCCTGGCATTATCACCAGAAGGCTTGCACACCCGGGCTTGTAAAACTTGTGGATAAGTGTTGGCTTCATTTAAAGTTTCGTTTTGCGCGGGTTGGTATAAATGGGAAGCCAAAACCAAACGTGTCATTGTTGGAGTCACCCTTTGACACATAACGGGTTTCATTTAGCAAACCATGGATTCTGTTTGAAGGCCTCTCCATGGTTTCCACGCCCAAACCGGGGGGAAAGCGGGGAACGTGGCTCTGTGGTTGTTGAGCTGAGAACAAATGGAAGGGGTAGTGGTTTGGGGGTGCAAATCATCATGGCTAAGACTCGGAAGCTTGAGTAGGTTTTGGTTGCATCGATGTCAGCGCATTGTTCCCATCACTCTAGTAAGAACCCCTTCTAAGAAGCTTCTAAGTAGCTTCGCTGCACGAGGAACCCACCCATCTTCCAATATGCGTCTCTTCTGCAAAATGCTTCCGGAAAAAGTGGTGGTTTCTGAAGAGAGCCATTTGTGTTTGGAGAATTCGGAATGAGCTGCAGGACCCATTGATACACAAATGTTTGCTCGAGCTTTCGTAGCAAACAAGTGCGCGAGAAACGGTAAATGCAAACACATGCAAACGCACAGATTGCGGGGCGGAGCATTGGCTTTGCACACTTTTTGGAATTACGCACGAGTTGTGGAAAAATGCGCCCGAGTAGCGGGAAATTGCGCTCGAGTTGCGGGTTCGTTTTCTCTTGAGCACTTCACCAAGCATCTAGGCAACTTCAAAAAGTGCTCGAATTGGATTTGATCAGAAACAAAGCGCTCGAGTGCCCAAAACTGTCTGGAGCACTTTTTTGTGTATCAAAGGGTGATCCAGGGAACCCTCAGAATCTGATCGGCACTTGTTTGGGTAGCTCTTTTGGGGGGTTCCCTGTGGAGATGAATCCCCACGTTGGCAAACGAGGGATATGGTTTTTCGCCATATCCGCTGGCGAGGCAAGTGGATGTCATCGATTTCTTGTCCTCCAAGTTGCCAAGGAATGAGACTCGGACGAGTGAAGTTTGGTCAAAGCTTCCAGTCTGGTCCAAGTGGGACTTTCGATTTGGTTCCTTAAACAAGCAGGCTGACTAAGTTAAGAATAAATACACCGTTAGTTTGGGAGGGATATGGGCCCGCTCAAAATGGTCCACCCAAACCATGGGTCGCACCCAAGCTTCCCATGTGGGGAAGAAGCGATGGGCTCATGCGTGACCATGGGGTGATCCCCAGCAGGCCCCTTCGGGCAAAGGGGGGATTCCGGAATCTCATTTTGTAGGGAAGACTAGGAACATGGAATTGGGGGACGTCCCGGCCAGAAAGGAAGGGTAGAGGGGTCATGGGTTTCAACTTTAGGTTGAGCCTGGATGGGTTCCACCGGTTTTCAGTTTGGTTCAGATCATTGACGAGCTCCAGCCACTTTTCCCGAAGGGCTTGACATGTGTTGACGCCGGCTTGGGCTGATATGGAGGATAATCATTCTCAGCGGATTCCCGTCACCATAGAAAGGCACCATGCTTGGTGAGTGGTTGCGGTCTTCTTGATTGCCCACTATACTGGTAAGTCTAGTAAGTTCGATTGAACTAGCTCTGCCATTCAAAGTCTGCTCACACGTACCTGTGCATGGACAAAATCCATGGTGCTTGTTTCCTGTGTTTGCATTTATGCGCATAATACGGTTGTGGAGACTGGGGTTTGGCCCTTCTTTGTGTTGCCACCGGAGTCATCTTCAATGTGGCAAAGTTGAGATGGTCATCAACCGCTTTGGTGTCAGCAAGAGGCCGTATTCGACAACCTTGGTTGTAACACCAGAAAGACGGAGGTGACGACTCATCATGCTGACCCGGTTTTTTCTGACAACCATGCACCAGGGTGCGACATACACGCAGAGTCGTTTTCGTCCCAACTGTGCCGCAAAGGATCCGGCGCAGATCATTCACAGCGTCACCATCCCCTTCCCAGGCGTGCGATGTGCGATCGATACGGGAATGTTGCACAGGCTTCCAGAAAAACGTTCGGGCCGGATCAACGTCACAGCTGATTTCAAGGATTCCTTGGTAAAGCTGGTGGTTTGTGGGTGTATCCGGACCTTACCAGTAGATGCACAGTTCCCCCTGCTCCCTACATATCACACATATTACTGTTCAATCGCACAGAGGACTCCGATTGGAAAAGGTACCTGTTTGCCTCAGCAAGTCAAGCCAGCGTTGATACCGCCAGTTCCAATCAATCAGTACAACAAGGGCTTGATTTACTTTGAGCAGTAGCCTGCATCCCTCGTTGGGCAGCTTGTGCTCATGGGGCAGCTTGCTGCACCATTGACTTTGTAGCGTTTAAAGGACAGTCTTCATAGAGCTCCCAGCTCGAAATAGACACTTTTGTACAGATTTGTCTTTTGACATTTCCCTTTTTGACAAGATTCAATATTGCTTACTAGTGTTTGGCCATGTGTGGGTGTGTTGTCTCCTATTTCGGGCAATGTTCACAGTCGTGCCCTCAAAGGCAGCGATGTCCTTTTGGTTTCCCTCTAAGTTCAGCTTCTTGTCGGTTCCCGCCGCAGGCGCAGAGACCTTCCTGGATACATTCAAGGTGATGCGACGGCACATGAGACTGGGCTGAGACCCGGAGACTCACATGCTCTATGAGGAACCTCCCAAAAACACCGCCTCTCAAACACAACCCTTTAAGACCAACATCACGACATCTACCAACACTGGAGGTGTGTTTTGAGGATCAGCTTCTTTCCCACTTTGAATTGGTACTGAGGAACACCCACGCGGAAGTGAACGCGGGATTCCTCTTCGAGTTCTCGGGCAAGGACGGGGTGAAAGTTGCCAACGCCAGGCCAGGTGTCTTGGAGATTCGGGTGGGTTGGTGTGAACAGGGTCTTGTTTTGCGCTGATTTCCCCAAGCCCGTTCCCTTGGCTGTGGTTTCGCTAGTGGGTAGGGACAGTGGGAATCTCATCAATGCTTGGAGTTTGGTATACGGTTTCCTGGTTTTTATCACGTCTTGCAGTGTGTAGTTGCGGACTGGGGCGCGTGGGTTGGGGTGCAGGCTGGCATTGCTGAGTGTGCGTTGGGGTTTGAGCAGCCAGTGTTGCCTTGTGGATGACTGAAGACTGTTGAAAAGCGATGTTTCCAAGAGGTGTGCTCTTTACAATTCTCCAACCAAGAATTCTGGGGATGATTAGGGGTTCCCATACCACACCCCGACTTGCGATTCGGCCTGACAAGAATCTATTTTCCGGGGGCCCCGTGTTTTTTCGGGACCCTTAAAGGATGTGAACCTTAAAGCAGTTGAGAGCGTTTTTGCGAGCGTTTTGCGAGGCTGGTGGTGGGTAACATCGAGCACCAGCCCTTTGTTGCCTCGGAGACTGCCAAGGCGGGTTGGAAATCCAGGGAGACGAGTGATCGCGTCGTTGGGTTGCCTCAGCGTTGACTTAACTCGGGCCTGGCTTCTTGGAAGTAGAACGTAGGTGCCACTTGATCATGAGCCCTAGTCGCTTTAGGTCGATGTAGTCATGATATGTCGTGGTTGCGCTGAACACTCGCTGAAGGTTTAGCGCAATCTGCTTTTGCCCATCACCCAAGACTGGATTTGTGGCACTCAAGGAGCTTGGACCAGGGGATATTTGGGTCTGTCTGAACATGGCGACCACAATTTGCGGGGGGGGTGATGAGAAGGGGGGTATCATCGTTTCTCTTTTCAACAACCCAGAACAAAGCTTATCTCAAAAGTCAGAAAACAAACACAAGCAAGCAAGGAAACACACACACACACACGAGGAAGCAAGACAGCAATCAAACAAACAATCAAACACACAATCAAACACACAATCAAACACACAAACAAACAAACAAACAAACAAACCAACCAACCAACCAACCAACCAACCAACCAACCAACCAACCAACCAACCAACCAACCAACCAACCAACCAACCATCCAACCAACCAGCAAACAAACAAACAAACAAACAAACAATCAAGCAAGCAAGCAAGCAAGCAAACAAACAAACAAGCAAGCAACCACACACCGACAAACATACAGCCATCCAGCCAGCTAGCCCGCCAGCCAGACAGTAGACAGACCGAAAGACACAAGCAAACACACAAGAAAGCAAACACACAAGAAAGCAAACACACAAGAAAGCAAACACATAAGAAAGCAAACAAACATGAAACAAGCAAGCAAGCAAGCAAGCAAACAAGGAAACAAACAAACCAAGGCACACACACACACACACTCACGCACGCGCACACACACACACACATGCTGGGTGTGGAGATTGGAGGCCCTGCTGGGCAAAGATCTGGATAGCGTCACCATCGACGCGGCCAAGAAGACGCTGCAAGCCGAGCTGAAGGCGGCACCGACACGGTTGACCGACATATTGCAGGTAGGGTCTTACCCAATTTTACAGCTATAGTCATAGTGCATGAGCCCCTTTAACATTGCGGGCTCCACCCCAGAATTGTCCCTTGTACTGTAGTTGTTTCCACCCTCCACTTACAGTGCTTTGTGGCTATTTGGTTGGGTCCTTTGGACTTCATCACTTTTTAGTGAAACAGGTGGGACTGTCCGAGTTGGACCCAGAAAAAAGTGGAACATGTGTTGCAGAGGGGTCAAGAGCAACCAAGAGTGGAACCTGGTTGAGTGTGATTTAGACGAACTCCGGGGCATCCGTGTGACCGGGGTTGAGAAGGGCTCGGGCCCTGGGGTTGTATCGCCGGAGCCATCAACTGCGGCACGGTGTGGTGTGTTTCTTTGTGCGGGAACGCTCTTTTTGGTCAGTTGTTTACGGGGGAAAAACAAACCACTCTTGTTGGTTCCCATTTGTTGGGTTCCCCATTTTCGGGTTCCCCATTTTTGGGTTCCCTTTCTCTCCAGGGAACCAATTTGAGACAGACGAAGAAAACTCGGCAGGCGCACCTGGCCCAGCCCACTGTGCCGGAGCCCCCCTTCGTGGTGGTGGACCCTCAGTACCGACTGAACCTGGCGCCTGAAGCAACCAGCGAGTCATGATGGGAGGACTTGGTTTAAACAACTGTCTCCCTGAGTTGCTGGACTTATTGGTCACCTTTTTGTTTGCGCTGGACCATTCTAGCATGTTAGTCGCTTCAAGCAGCTTGGCTGCTTTTGTTGGCCCATCCACTCAAGAAGTGAGACAATTGTTGCAACCCCATTGCCCCGTCAATCCAAACTTAAGCCCTTGTACACCCTTGCAACCGGGATTGCTAACCATTTGGGTCTGTTGTTTTTTGGGGGTTCCAATTTTGGGGTGTTTGTAAAGGAAACCAAAAAGGATACCATCCATTTTGAAGGTTCACCCAGTTTGAGAAAAAACATGTAGCAATCCCAAGGCATCCCCAAGTCTCCAACACCATGCAAACCAGCGAAGAGAAGCTGCTGAAACATGGTCCTAGAACGGATTTGTTATTGCCAATGGCATACCATTGCATTGGATTGAGTTGGATACACTCAATTCTAAATCTGGGATCAGATGAACAGCAGGTTCAAAAGTTTCAAAACACGCCATCCAGCCTCGCCACCAACAACTGCCTTTTAATGGCACTTGAGGGTTTGGTCATGGAAATATAACAGTTATTGGAGGCTGCCGGAAGGATGAACACTATCCAAACACCATCCAACAATAGCCAATGGCGAGCTTACTCTGGGGGTTGCAAGCTTGAGCTCCATGATGAAAATCACAGTGGAAGTTGTCTGACTGGTTTGCTTGCATACCAGCGCGTGCTACAAACACAGATGCAGCTTGTGATCTGTATTTTGAGCACACCTGGGATGTTTGAACTACCTGTGTTGCTACTTTGCATTCCCGACTTCACACATTTGAACAGGCCATGTCTCTGGAATATGCCAAATATGATAAGTGACATAATTATGTAGGTATGATGTAGGATTGGATGGCTGGTGGCTGAATGGATAGGTGGATGCGTGGATGAGTGGATGCTTGGATGGATGGATGGATGGATGGATGGATGGATGGATGGATGGATGGAGATGCGTTTGTTGGTGTGTATGTGGTTCCCCTTCCCGGGTTCGCCATCCCCCGACTTCGCTTTATTTAAATACAAATCGCTGACTGCCAGAAGTGGTTTTGCAGGTTGATGGATACCAGACAGATCGTTTGGGTGGGCCTTTATCATTTTTTGTTGGTACACTTATTGGGTATTCAGTACTTGGACCCCTCTTCCCCCCACCCGCACAAACCACCAAAACATATCCTCTTCAATCTCCCTGACCTCACATCCCGTAGAACCGCAAATTCTCTGGAAAATCTGGTGCGAATGGTCTTTTCGTCAGGGAAAGGTTGACTTCCTTGATTAGGGGCGAATATATTTGTACATATGTACGTATAATATATATAGTATATTATATATATATATGTTTATTTGTAGTTATATATATATATATATGTACATATGTACATATCCATATCATGCATGTCTTCTTTTTTTGTCCAGGCCCCTCTCCCCCCCTGCCTTCTTCGCCCCCACCCAAACCCCTCCCTCTTCGGCAGCTCCTCCGACGACTTCGACGCAGCGCCTATTATTCAAGTTTTTGTTTTAAGGAAGGACCCCTGTTCCCCCCCTCCCCACCCCAAACCCCACCCCAAACCGCCGAGGCGCCGCAGCTCTTCGCCAGGGCGGCGCTGCGCGCGCGGCGCGCGCGCGGCCTGGCGCTCAGCGCCTCGGAGGCCTCCGCGGCGGAGGCGCCGCTGCGGCCGCCCGCGGAGGGCCACCAGCCGCGCGGCGGTCGAACGGAAACGCGGCGGGGGGGGGGTCGCTTTAAAGGGCTTCCATTTGCTGAAATGTTGCTTTTCTTTTTCCTCTTTGGTTCTTTGGTTTTTAAGGGAATAGTCTATCACTACTGGAAATATGTTGATGTTTTCCAGGGGGATTAAGCAAATGGAAGAGCGCGATGCCCCGAAAAAGGCCACAGGCTTCTGGGCACATCCTGCCGCATCTGGGTTAAAGGCCTTGGGTTACGGGCACACTTTGCCGCATCTTTCTTTTTTGACCTAAAGAGTTGAACCACATCTTTAAAACCTGGCGAGAGGAAGGTTAAGGGATAGTCAGGAGAGTCCCCTTGCCATAAATGGGTCCGGACTGTTGCGGATATCCGCCTTTTAAACTGAGAAACATGATTCTGCGTAATTAGACCATTTTCATACCAGGTGTTGATTGCGACTCAATTGGAGGTAGGGATGGCCTTGCGCCCAAAGCGAAGCTTGGCTTCCAGCTGCACGTTTGTGAAGCCCAAAAAGTCTTCCAGCGGAACCTCAGAACCTGTGAGGAGCCCTGCACCTGTTTTCCAGGCTTCCTGGGATCCAGTAGAGTTATGTTTTCGGATGTTATTATTTTTGGTTCCATACTTCCGATTTCCGGTGTCCTCTTGGATGTCTTTCTTCAGGCAATCCTGAATTTGATGGTTTGGAGCGGTTTGGGTTTGAAGGGGGTTTTTGGTACCTTGGTGGTTCACAGCCATCCAGTTCCTTAGCTTTTTGGCCTTTTAGTGTGTGGGGATTTCCATTTAACCCATATGTAGAACTTTTAGCGGGGGATCTGAGGACAGCGGTACTTGCAGAGGGTTTCCTGGGAAACCACCGCTTCGCTTTTCTTGCGCTTCGCGCTGAGGCACTTCACGGTGGACAGCTCCACCGCGCCGCTGGGTCAGCCCCTGACAAAGGTCCAGGGCCTGGACCAAGCCTGCGGCGCCTCGGTCTCGATCGCTTCGGACCCGCGGAACGACAAACACTGCGCCAGTGGGTTGTTGGACAAATTCACCTGCTTAAAGTGGTTTTGAAGGTGTCCGCCCTCTCCCTTTGTCTTCACATTAGAAGGGATCTTGGCACCGGGGGCTCTTCGAAGTCGACATTTGGGCGGGTTCTCGAATCTTTTATTTTGGGGTAAGCCCATTGTGCCGATGTCTTACTACATTGGGCCAGTTTCCACACATCCGCCAGCCCATGAATCGATTTTTTGCGCACTCGGAGGCACGGCTCAGTTTGTGGCGGACGCGCCACTGCTGCCGAAGACCTTGTTCGCCCTGCCGGTGCTCGTGCAGAAGCTGGCAACCCTGCAGCGTAGCTCGGCCCATGGCTTTGGGGCGGAGAGTGAAGGATGGGTCATTCCACTGTGGACCAGTTGGTGGGTAGCTTGTCCCAGTCATAGGGTTTCATCTGATGGCGGAGTCAGTGCATCTGTCCAAGAGAGGAACATCCTGTTGATCAACCAGGTTGATTCTGGGCTCGAAGGTGTATCTTGACTGTATCATGGCACCTCAAGCAAGTCAGCAGCGCCCAACCCCCCGTTGGCCGTTCTTATTAGGTGGTTCCATCACCTGGTGGTGGTAGTAAGGCCATGTAAGGCCATGTAATGTAGGCACTTTGGTAGGACCAAACGTCATCTCGTGGTTTGGCCTCGCGCCCCGAGCCCCAGGCATCGACGCCTCAGAGTGCCTGCAGGTGGAAGGCAAGGCCTCATGTACCTGGCGTGGGGTCGGGTAAGGGGTGGGTTGGGGTGGGGTGCGGTGCGGTGCGGTGCAGTGGGGTGGGGTGGGGTGGGGTGGGGTGGGGGTCGGGCCGGCAACTTTGTTGGATCAGTCAGTACCCTTTCACGGTTGGTCTTGGTTGTGACGAAATCGCCCCTCAAATTTATTGGAATCGATCATTTTTCATTTAAACCTACAAACGATGATCGACCTTTGCTCAGGGGGAAGAGCACACTAATTTTCACCTTGGTTCAACGGCAAACCACAAGGAAAGGCTCGGTGTCATGTCCTTTTTAAGATAGCCTTTGTGGGGGATAGAGGAACACCTCATCCTGCAACATGGGAGTGGTTTCGTTTGGTTTCCCTAAATCCACCCGAGGGCTTTGTGTGTGTGTGTGTGTGTGTGTGTGTGTGTTTTCGAGTATACGAGCTCATTGCCGGACGCTTGCCTAAGCTGCTTTACTAAAAGACTGCCCTTTTGCAGCACCCCCCCCCCGTACGATGGACAGTTGGAGTCTATATTGCAAGCACCTGTGGTCATGTCCTTCTAGGAAGAAGCAACTTGCTTGCAAAATAGACGCCAGCCCGCCCGCAAGACCCGCTGGACCCGCTGGACTCGCTGGGCCCGCTGGACCCGCTGGACCCGCTGGACCCGCTGGACCCGCTGGACTCGCTGGACTCGCTGGACTCGCTGGACTCGCTGGACCCGCTGGACCCGCTGGACTCGGGCGCACGCGCGCGCGCCCGACTTTGCGCTGGACCCGCTGGACCCGCTGGACCCGCTGGACCCGCTGGACCCGCTGGACTCGCTGGGCCCGCTGGACCCGCTGGACCCGCTGGACCCGCTGGACCCGCTGGACTCGCTGGACTCGCTGGACTCGCTGGACTCGCTGGACCCGCTGGACCCGCTGGACTCGGGCGCGCGCGCGCGCGCCCGACTTTGCGCTGGACCTGCTGGACTTGCTGGACTCGTTGGACTCGCTGGACCCGCTAGACCCGCTGGACCTGCTGGACCCGCTAGACTCGCTGGACCCGCTGGACTTGCTGGACCCGCTGGACCCGCTGGACCCGCTGGACCCGCTGGACCCGCTGTGGATCTCGCTGGACCGCTGGAGCCGCTGGACCGTATGGACCCGCTGAACCCGCTGGACTTGCTGGACTCGCTAGACTCGCTGGACCTGGGCTCGCTGGACCCGGGTGCCGCTGGACCCGCTGGACCCGCTGGACTCGCTGGACCCGCTGGACCCGCTGGACCCGCTGGACCCGCTGGACCCGCTGGACCCGCTGCACCCGCTGGACTCGCTGGACTCGCTGGACGGAGAGGGTAACTCACGCCGTGTAAGTGGTCATACTTGCTGCACAGGCTGGACTTGCTGGACTTGCTAGGCCCGCTGGACCCGCTGGAATTGGTGCGCCCGCTGAACTTGCTAGGGCTGGACCCGCTGGACTCGCTGGACTCGCTGGACCCGCTGGACCCGCTCGCTGGACTTGCTGGACTCGCTGGACCGGCTGGACCCGCTGGACTCGCTGGACTCGCTGGACCCGCTGGCTCGCACTGGACTCGTGCGCCGCTGGACTCGCTGGACTCGCTGGACTCGCTGGACTTGCTGGACCCGCTGGACCCGCTGGACCCGCTGGACCCGCTGGACCCGCTGGACCCGCTGGACTCGCTGGCTCGCGCGCGCGCGCGCCCGACTTTGCGCTGGACCTGCTGGACTTGCTGGACTCGTTGGACTCGCTGGACCCGCTAGACCCGCTGGACCCGCGGGACCCGCTGGACTCGCTGGACCCGCTGGACTCGCTGGACCCGCTGGACCCGCTGGACCCGCTGGACCCGCTGAGACCCGCTGGACTCGCTGGGCCCGCTGGACCCGCTGGACCCGCTGGACCCGCTGGACCCGCTGGACTCGCTGGACTCGCTGGACTCACTGGACTCGCTGGACCCGCTGGACTCGGGCGCGCGCGCGCGCGCCCGACTTTGCGCTGGACCTGCTGGACTTGCTGGACTCGTTGGACTCGCTGGACCCGCTAGACCCGCTGGACCCGCTGGACCCGCTAGACTCGCTGGACCCGCTGGACTTGCTGGACCCGCTGGACCCGCTGGACCCGCTGGACCCGCTGTGGATCTCGCTGGACCGCTGGAGCCGCTGGACCCGTATGGACCCGCTGGACCCGCTGGACTTGCTGGACTCGCTAGACTCGCTGGACCTGGGCTCGCTGGACCCGGGTGCCGCTGGACTTGCTGGACACTCGCTGGACCCGCTGGACCCGCTGGACCCGCTGGACCCGCTGGACACGCTGGACCCGCTGGACCCGCTGGACTCGCTGGGCCCGCTGGACCCGCTGGACCCGCTGGACCCGCTGGACCCGCTGGACTTGCTGGACTCGCTGGACTCACTGGAATAGCTGGACCCGCTGGACCCGCTGGACTCGGGCGCGCGCGCGCGCGCGCCCAACTTTGCGCTGGACCTGCTGGACTTGCTGGACTCGTTGGACTCGCTGGACACGCTGGACCCGCTGGACCCGCTGGACCCGCTGGACACGCTAGACCCGGACTGGACCCGCTGGACCCGCTAGACTTGCTGGACCCGCTGGACTCGCTGGACTCGCTGGACCCGCTGGACCCGCTGGACCCGCTGGACCCGCTGGACCCGCTGGACCCGCTGGACTCGCTGGACCCGCTGGACCCGCTGGACGCTGGACCTCGCTGGACCCGCTGGACTCGCTGGCGCTGGACTCGGGCGCGCGCGCGCGCGCCCGACTTTGCGCTGGACCTGCTGGACTTGCTGGACTCGTTGGACTTGCTGGACCCGCTAGACCCGCTGGACCCGCTGGACCCGCTAGACCCGCTGGACCCGCTAGACTCGCTGGACCCGCTGGACCCGCTGGACCCGCTGGACCCGCTGGACCCGCTGGACCCGCTGTGGATTTCGCTGGACCGCTGGACCCGCTGGACCCGCTGGACCCGCTGGACCCGCTGGACTTGCTGGACTCGCTGGGCCTGGGCTCGCTGGACCCGGGTGCCGCTGGACTTGCTGGACTCGCTGGACTCGTGCGCCTCTGGATTCGCTGGACTCGCTCGCTGGACTTGGGCGCCGCTGGACCCCCTGGACTCGCTGGACTTGCTGGACCGCTGGACCTCGCTGGACCCGCTGGACCCGCTGGGCCCCCGATTTGCTGGACCCGCTGGACTCGCTGGACCCGCTGGACCCGCTGGACCCCGCTGAGCCCACTGGACCCGCTGGGCGCGCTAGCTCGCTGTGGGCTCGCTGGCTGGACCCGCTGGACTCGCTGGACGCGCTGGACCCGCTGGACCCGCTGTCACTGGACTTGGGCGCGCGCGCGCGCGCCCGACTTTGCGCTGAACCTGCTGGACTCGCTGGACTTGCTGGACTTGCTGGACTCGCTGGACCCGCTGGCAAACCCCCTGTACTCGGAGGACTTGCTGGGCCCGCTGGCCTTGCTGAACTCGCTGGACTCACTGGACGCGATGGACTCGCTGAACCCGCTGGACCCGCTGGACCCGCTGGACGCGCTGGACCCGCTGGACCAGCGCTGGACCAGCGCTGGACTCGCTGGACTCACTGGACCCGCTGGACTCGCTGTGGACTCGCTGAACTCGCTGGACTCACTGGACTCGGGCGCGCCCGCGCGCGCCCGACTTTGCGCTGGACCCGCTGGACTTGCTGGACTCGCTGAACTCGCTGGACTCGCTGGACTCACTGGACTCGCTGGACTCGCTGGACTCGCTGTGGACTCGCTGAACTCGCTGGACTCGCTGGACTTGGGTGCGCGCGCGCTTGACTTTGCGCTGGACCTGCTGGACTTGCTGGACTCGTTGGACTCGCTGGACCCTCGCTGGACCCGCTGGACTCGCTGGACCCGCTGGACCCGCTAGACTCGCTGGAGTTGCTAGACTCGCTGGACCTGGGCTCGCTGGACCCGGGTGCCGCTGGTTGCTGGACTCGCTGGACTCGCTGGACTCGTGCGCCTCTGGATTTGCTGGACTCGCTGGACTCGCTGGACCCGCTGGACTCGGGCGCCGCTGGACTCGCTGGACTTGCTGGACCGCTGGACCTCGCTGGACCCGCTGGACCCGCTGGACCCGCTGGACCCGCTGGACGCGCTGGACCCGATTCGCTGGATTCGCCGCTGAGCCCGCTGGACGCGCTAGCTCGCTGTGGACTCGCTGGCTGGACCCGCTGGACTGGCTGGACTCACTGGACTCGGGCGCGCGCGCGCGCGCGCCCGACTTTGCGCTGAACCTGCTGGACTCGCTGGACTTGCTGGACTTGCTGGACTCGCTGGACCCGCTAGCAAACCACCTGTACTCGTAGGACTTGCTGGGCCCGCTGGCCTTGCTGAACTCGCTGGGCTCACTGACCCGCTGCGCGCCCGACTTTGCGCTGGCTTGCTGGACTCGCTGGACTCGCTGGACCCGCTGAACTCGCTGTGGACTCACTGGACCTGGGTGCGTGCGCGCGCGCGCCCGACCTTGCGCTGTTCGCTGGACTCGCTGGACTCGCTGGACTTGCTGGACTCGCTGGACTCGGGACTCGCTGAACTGGCTGCAGACTTGCAGGCATTAAACCCCTGAGCGCAGACTATGCTCAGCGAAGTACCCAAAAACGTACTTCCCTTCTCCTGACGCAACTTGGTGTGAAGTTCAACGGGGTTGGTTCAACACGAGACCCACTCTGCCACCCTCAATCGCACCACGGCACTTTGCAGCCGCTGAGCAAATGCTTTTAGCTTGGCAACTACCCGTGCAACCTTCCAGACACTGCAGCACAATGGCAAATCTACTCGCATTATGAAACGGTGGGTTCCACAAGTTCGGCAAAATGCACCTTCAACACCTTATTTTGGCAATCAGAAGCTTTCCAGTGAGCCTCAGTGGGCCACAAATAAAGCTGTTCTCGAGAGGCCAAAAACAACCAACAGTTCGACAATCACCTAAGGTCCTGCTGCAAGCACGTGA